TTTCTGTCTGTCTTAAATGAGACCCAGAATCCAAGAAACTTGACCAGTGTGGTGCAACTAAGCCAACATTTGCACTATAGACCCTTGGTCTTCATAGCCTGTGTACAAGCCACCTTTTTTTTTTTTTTTTTTAATTTTATGTGTATGAGTGCAATGCCTGAATTTATGTAGGTGCACCCATGTCGTGCAGTGCCCACAAAGGTCAGAAGAGGGCGTTGGATCCCCTGGAACTGGAGTTAGAGACAGTCGTTAGCCATGTGTGTGCTGGGACTCAAACCTGGGTCCTCTTGAAGAGCAGCTAGTGCTCTTAACTGCTGAGCCATCTCTCCAGCCCCAGCAAGCCTTCTTTATAAGTCACAACTCGAAACTGTTTTTAGCCACAACTGTATTGTCAGAAACTGAGCACCCAAATATCTATGTATGTTGTCAAATATATTAGACGGAGAAATGGCAAGGCCCAGGTGAGAGTATAAGTTGTGACCTCCCTTCTACACTCCATGTGTTTGCCTGCACTGGTCACCCCCCTCCTGATGTGTATCAGAGGTGTGCTGTGCCCTGAGGCCTTCCACCCTGGCTGAGTTGGAACCAGCAGGGAGGTAACTAGATAAGTTAAAAGATCCAGACTCTGTTGCTGGCAGAAGCCCAGATGGCTGCTATAGGGTTCCCATGTGTGATAGCTGTGTTTGAGCCCATCCTGCTGGGCAACTTGATGGGACCAGGCTGGAAGAGGAGCAGACCTCAGTGTGGTGAGGAACAGGGGACCCATCCATATGTACTTAGTTCTTCAGGGAAGTCTTGCCTCTCACTTCTGGTTCCTGTTCTTAAATGACGGAAAGTTAGAGAAAAGTCACAGTAGGTTGATGTCCCTGCCTGTGGAAGCATGAACTTTTCTGTAACCCATCTCAAACTCAAAACACAATTTTTAGGTAAAACCTGAGGCCTCTCTCTTAGCTCTATGGTCCTTGCTCAGGCAGGTGGCATAACTTTGTTTCTCTATTCTGGCACGTGTGCACACGTGCATGATTCACCCAAGGTCTTCCTGATTATGCAATTGTACTGCTTACCTGAATAATTATCACCATAATTTTTATTACTACGTATGTGTGTGGGTGTGTGCACGTGCACATGTGCATGTACCACAGCATGCATGTCGAGGTCAGAGGATAGTTTTGGGGACTCAGTTCTTGTCTTCCACCTTGTTGAGGCAGAGTCTCTCTTGTAGCTGCCTTTCTGCACATTCTACGCTAGCTGGCCCACAGGCTTCTGGATAATTATCCTGTCTCTTCCTCCATCTCTCCATAAGAGTGCTGGAATTGCAGATGCAAGCCACCACATCTAGCCTTTTGTGGGTTCTGGGATTCAAACTCTGATCATCTGACTTGTAATGCAAGTACCCACTGAGCCATCTGAATGTCTCCTGTACAACTTTCTTACCAGTTTTTCTCTGTCTTGTGGGACTGAGCCAGGGGAAACCAGTGTGGTATCTCTTGTCCAAGGCCCAACACAGCTGAGGGACTCAGTATGCATGAAGGGCTCAGCTTGCCCTTATTAAGTGACATGGAAGGTGAGGGCTGGGGCTGCAGTTTCACTGCCTTAAGTGATACAGAGTGGACCATCCACAGACTCCCCATCAGGTTCACTACCAGATTCAACCAACCTCAAGTCAAAAATATTTAAAAGAGGGCTGGAGAGATGGTTCATTGGTTAAGAGCACTGACTGCTCTTGCAGAGGACCTGGGTTCGATTCCCAGCATCCACATGGCGGCTACAAACTGTTCTTAACTCTAGTTCCAGGGGAATCCAAAACCCTCTTCTGACCTCTGCGGCATTGCACGACATGGGTGCACTTACGTACATGCAGGCAATACACTCATACACATAAAATAAAAATAATGAAATATTTTCTAAAAATTTTAAAGAAATTCTAGGAGGAAAAAAAGGAATTCTAGGGACTGGAGAGATGGCTCAGTGGTTAAGAGCACTGACTGCTCTTACAGAGGACCTGGGTTCGATTCCCAGAACCCACATGGTGGCTAACAACTACTTGCAACTCCAGTTTCAGGGGATCTTCTGATGACTTCTTCTGACCTCCATGGGCATTGCATGACACAGGTGTACTCATATACATGCAGGCAGTACACTCATAAACATAAAATAAAAATAATAAAACATTTAAAATTTTTTTTTATTTTTTTGGTCTTTTTTGAGACAGAGTCTCCTAGTAGCCCCAGCTGGCCTGGAACTCACTATGTAGACCAGGTTAGCCTTGAACTCACAGATCCACCTGCCTCTGCCTCCCAAGTGCTGGGATTACAGGTGTGTACCACCACACCTGGCTAAAACATTTTTTTAAGAAAGAAATTTTGGAAAGTTCTAAAAAGGGAGGGGATGAGGGGTTGGAGAGATTGCTCAGTGGTTAAGAGCACTTGCTGCTCTTACAGAGGACTGTGGTTCATTTCCCAGCACCCACATGGTAGTGCTCACACCATCAGTTCCAACGGATGTGACACACTCTTCTGGCCTTCGCTGGCACCAGGCATGTATTGGGTACACATACATAATATGTAGGCACTCACATATACATATAAAATAGAAATAAATAAATCTTTTTAAAAAGTTCTAAAAGAAAGCAAAATTTGGGTTTGCCTTACCCTAAATGCTATGCTGAATCCTTTCTAGTGATCCTCTCTTATACCCTGCTGTAGCCTCCTTTGAAGACCCTCCCTGGCACTTGTTTGAACATTACTGTGGTCATTTACTTTGTAGTTAGGCCTAGTAAGAGTATATCCTGAAATGAATGAATGCAGTCTTTTCTCCTTATCTGTTCCCTAAGCAATATCTGTTTGCATAGTATTTCCATTGTCTTAGGAATTAGAGGTCATCCAGAGGTGATTTATAGTATGCAAGAGGGAAGTGTAGGATATATGCAGATGCTCTGTCCTTTTATAAGAGGCTTGGGTTCCTTCTGTTTTGTTATCTCTGGGCTCCTGGAACCCATCCCCCAGACACAGAGAGACAGCTGTACTGGTAGGCACTCCTACCTCCTCCTCTGCCAGTCTAGCTCTGCCTCAGCACATCCCACATTTCCTTTGGGTGACGGTGGCCCCTCTATCTAGCTCTCTGGTTAACACCTCATCTTCTGTTCTTGAATACTGTTTCCCTGTGACCTGCTGGGCCTTACATTTTCCCTCTGGGACCCTGCGGCTTCCAGCTGTGGGGGCTTTGCCTTTGGTGGTGGTGGTTTTCAATGGTTCTCTGCAGGCTCCTGAATAAACTGTGTCTTGGCAGATGTGTGAGGCAGCTTTGTCCAGCTTTATGTATGTGATGCAGAGATGCGGTGGTTCCCTGGACCAGCTGTCTCTGCTAAGCCAGCCAGATCGAGGCAGAAGGAAAACAGCTTTCTGATCCTGGGGGGAATTCTTCTCTCCCCCACCCCTATCTGCTTAACACTAGGAGGCATCAGAATGGCCCCTCACTCACAGGGGCCTGCTGTGACCTCTGCCATTTATTTGCAAAGAATGACTAGGCTTTGCTAGGTGATAGCCTATACTGTATGTATGATGAGGTATTGAGGTATGTCTGCCTAAACCAGAAATTACAATATTGAGGTTCAATTCTAGGTCCAATACTAACTGCCCAGGAAATCCTTTACAGGCATTGACCTCATGGTCTGTGGGTACTTGTTGCCTGAAGGGCTTTGCTGCCCTTACTGTTAGCTTTAAGTGTCTTATATGCAGGAAACTATATTCGCCTGGCTTTTGCTCTTTCACCTTGACCTAAGATGTGAAGCCAAGACTGAACAAAGAGGTGCAGATGGTGAGTGTGTTTGATTCACTGATCAGAGATAAGGTCAAACTAGGAAGGCTCACCACTCGAAGGGGAAGCAGTCCACATTCCTTCTGCACCCTTCACTGCCTGTTCCACTTCATGCTTCAGTATTACTTCCCACCAGGAAGTCCCCAGGCATCTAACTCAGATCCCTTTGGCTCTAACCTAAGCCAGTTCTCCCTACAGACAGACCATACCCTTCCAGTCACAGCCATACCCCCAGAGCATCTCCATTAACCCTTCGTCTGTCTAAGGATTCAAGCTAAGAAATACCAGAAGTGCCAGTGAGTTTTCCAATGTGTCATTTTCAATGTGGAAATTAAAGTATCTGTTTGCTCAAAGCACTCACTGTGCTGGAAGCTCCCTGCACAGTACATCTTAGTCCGATCCAGATGCTCACTTCTAATGCAGGTGCTGAGCTTGGTGCTTAGAATAAGGTAGAGACTTCCCTGGTCTGAAGGAGCTCCTGGCCATTCAGCCTTTCATTCAACAAAGGCTAGTTGCCCTGTTGTCAAGGGGGCATAGCACAAGCCATGGCTGTATCTTTGATCTGCTGTGCCCAACACTCAGTATACAGTGAACATTCGATTAGAAGGTGTGACTTGAATATTTAACAAGTCAGAAGACTGATCAGCTCACATGAATGTTGTATTTGGAGCTCACAGGACATCACTAATGTTTCAGCTTACTGGATGTTTTCACCTAAAGTGCCCCATTTGGTCATTTTTACAACTCTTGTGAGGTAGTTGTCCTCCTATGGATGAAAACTGACATTCCTATTTGAACCTGGGTTTTGGCCCCCTGGCTTGGTGCCCCATCCCCTATGACATTGCACCTCACAGCTAGTGTGAAGAAAGCTGTAGGGAGGACTTGGGAAATAAATTTCTGCCAGAGCCCAGGCTTTTGGGAGGAGAGGTGAGAATGGAGACTCATGGTCCTACTTCTCGAGTCTGTGGTGACTGTTGTCATGCAAAATCCTCTGCAGGGGGCATGCCACTTCTCTGCATTGATACCTTGGGGCTTTGGGTTTTTGTATGTCTTCATTAAAAGCAAACCACTTTACGACTCTATTTCTTAGTGGCTGTTAAATAAACCATCAGATGTGTGAATAACGGTCAGCAGTGGAGAGCATTAATAATTGAGTGCCCTGAAATAGACTTTTGTTTTTGCAGCTTGCCAAGAATATTGGGAATGCAGGCTTTAATGAGATCATGGAGTGTTGCCTACCAGCTGAGGACTCCATCAAACCCAACCCAGGCAGTGACATGTGAGTATAGGGTGGCGCTTCCCATTTTCTGAACAAAGATTCTCCCTTTGCCTGAGCCCCGTAAGGCAGGGGAACAGGTCAGGTGTACGTCAGTTGTTACTTCTTGGGAAAGTAAACTAGCATAAATTGTTTTCTGTTTTCATTTTGCTTTTTTCCTTCTTAGTCATTTTTGTGTGTTCCAATAGAAATGTGGTGTGGCTGGTTTTGTTAGGAAGAGGCTGAAGGGTGAGCAGCGTGCTGAGCAACTGCTCTGACTGCATAAAGGGCATTGCAGTGATTCTGGCTTGCCACTACTATGTGTACCCCTGGGCACCTTGCCACTGCTGCTCTTTCTCTCAGCCTATTTTCCCAGTTTGGTTATCTCTGCTGAGTTGTGGCTTGTCATTGTAGCTAGGCAGTCAACTGTGTGCTGTTTTCTTTGCCTGTGTCCTTAGAAGTATAGAACCTGTTGTTTCCTTCAAAAATATTTGAGGGTATGTTTACTGTTTATACAAAATGTAATTGAGAAAGAAGCATTTGTGTCTCATAGTGTACCCAGCTGGCCCACCGAGGCAACACATACAACAGGGGATTTCTTACCAGTTTAATTAAAGTATAAGTCACCCAGACCATACTGGACTTGAAGAGGTATTTGTCCTACCTCTCAAACTTCATCCCTCTTTCTTTTTTTCTTTCTTAAAAAAATTGGTTTGGGGGAGATATGAGAGACGTTGGAGGGGAGGGAGTGGGCATGGATTTGATCAAAACACCCTATATACATGTATGAAATTCTCAATAAATTAATTTATTTAAAAAAATTGGTTTGGACTGGAGAGATGGCTCAGTGGTTAAGAGCACTGGGTGTTCTTGCAAAGGGCCCAGGTTTGATTCCCAGCACCCACGTGGCAGCTAACAAATGTCTATGACTCCAGTTCCAGAGGATCTGGAACCTCCGTGGGCATTGCATGACATGGGTACACTTATACACATGCAGGCAATACATTCATACACATAAAATAAAGCCTGGCGTGGTGGCCCATACCTTTAATCTCAGCACTTGGGAGGCAGAGGCAGGCAAATCTTTGTGAGATTGAGGCCAGCTTGGTCTACATTGTAAGTTCCAGGCCAGCTGGGGCATAGGGAGATGCTGTCTCAAAAAAGACACCCCCCCTCCAATAATAATTAATTAAAATAAATATTTTAAAATTGGCTTATTTGGGGGGTGGGATGTTTCAGCAGTTAAGAGTACTTGCTGCTCTTACAGAGGACCTAGGTTCAGTTCTCAGCACCTGCTTGGTGGCCCACAACTGTAACTGTGTATAAGTGTTTTATCTGCTTGCATATAACTGTACCATGTACATGCAATTCCCACAGAGGTCAGAAGAGGGCATTAGGTCCTCTGGAACTGGAGTTACTGACAGCCACCATGTATGTTCTGGGAACTGAGCCCTGGCTTTCTGGAAGAGCAACTGTTGAGCTATCTCTCCAGCCCCTTAGCCCTGTCTGATCATAGAAGGACTTGGTTGGTGATGCAAAGCCAGGATATAGAAGAGGGACAGTTCTCTCCGCTAGCAGAGATAACACCTGTGTTTGAACAGTGTAATAACGGAGGGGAAAATGAAAACTAGGTGAGAAAAGAAAGTTGAACAGTCCATTACACAGACTGCATTTCCTTGGGCTAAGCCTGAAATAGAATTAGTGGTGTCCTTAAGGATACTGAGTCACAGGGACCAGTGTCTTTCAGAATGGTTTTACAAGGAGGAGAGAGGGTACAACCTCTGTGTAAAGCAGAACATAAAGGTTTTTGTACTTGCTCCATTCTGTTGGGGACACTGAGGCTATGGAACTACAGGACTGAGTTGTCTTGCACTATGTCACCTGATCTGAGATGAAGAAGATGTGGGAGCATTCTGTAGGAGTGAGCAGGAAACATTGTTGGGAGACCTCTGTTATGCAAAAGTCGAAGCCCCTTCACACCGGACAGCTCATGCAGCTTGGGAATGTGCTGCGAGCTCCTTTTCATAGCAAGGTGCTTTCTGGCATCTTTCCTGTCTCTCCCTTTGAAGTGGCCGCCACAAATGCCCTGACATAAACATGGCCTTTGGCTCTATGCATACCATGCCTTCCTGTGTGATTTTTACAGGTAGACAGAAGCCCACCGCCCTATGTAAATGAGGCATCCTAAAAGTACCTATCAGCTAAGACTTCTTCTACTGTCTCTACACTATAAATAGTCCTAGTTTTACCCCAATAAAGTTGGAGCTGTAGCAGGAGCTGGAGCTGAATCATTGAAATCTGAGCTGAGTCACTTGTCTTGAGCTCTAACACTAGATCCTGTGATCCAGTCTCCCCAGGGGGCGCTATTCCTCCATTATCGTCCCACGGATACCCCAGCTTTCACTGCCTCCGTGCCTCTTCCCTGTGGAGTTCACTGGCCAGGAACTCCACAATCCTGAGGAAAGGTACAAGGGTGTAATAGAGGCGGGATTCTGACTGGATAATACTCCAGAAGCAGAGGAAGCTCTTAGCACCAGAAACTGCGGTAGCCATCAGCTGCCACTATTCCCAGAGACGGGGGACCCCGCGCCGGGCCCAGAGAAGCCAGAGATCTGCCGCGCCACATCCAGAGTGAGTGCGCCCGGGAGCCCAGGCGCGCTCCCCACATCGTTTGTGGCCAGGCTCAAGCCGGGACTAGCCAGGTGTGGCGGAGACCCCAGGGGGCCTGCGCACACCACGCCGCACACCACGCCGGGGGTCCAGCGACCCCCCCCCATAAAACATGTTGATTGTTGGCTGTTTCTGGTGTCATGTATCTCAGGTGTGTTGCATTAAAGTCAGTTTATGTTTGCATTCTGTAATAAGCATGTATGTCATAGTGTTTCTATAGATTGCATAACGGGTGATTTTTAGATCCCATTTACAAAGTGTTGTGCTCCCCAGATGAAGGTGTAAAATTCAGATCTCACCTGAAGAGGCAGTAGAATACAGTAGTATTCTTGTCCTTTCCCAGCCCAGACCACTTTAGCTTCTCTGAGCCTAAGCCCTAATTTCCTCTAATATAAAAAGGGAGACCAGGCTGCTCACCCCCCAGGAGCCATTGGGGAAATTAGTGAGATGCTTTGCATTCGATCAGTTGTGCAGTTGGTGTTGGCAACAGAGGCCATGTAAATGCCCTGTGGTAATGCCATCTACTTTGAGAAATGGCAACCTATAGTAGGCCTCTCTTGGAGTGACCCACAGGTATACAGTGCCTCCTGGACAGCTGGAGGACCTCATGTAGTGAATGGAATGCTGAGATCCAGTATGGTGGGTTTAGCTAAGTTGTTCACTTGATGACTGCTCCTTCTGGTTGTCCATCTACCACTGAGATACCAGGCTTCTAGAATGCCATAAAATTGATCAACTTTGAACAAATAGTACAGTAAAATATTACTATCAAGTACCAGGACTACCTTATAAAGGCAGAGCATCTGTTTCTTCTGGGGTAATTTTAAGAATGAGTACTACCTGTTTGGAACCCATGAACCTCAATATTCTATCTGCCCTGAGGTCTGGCCGCACACCTCGACACTCACAAGAAGTTTACACTCCTCCACTTCTTCAGAAATGAGGGTGGATGACCATTGGAATGATGAAAGATGACCCACAGTCATTCTTCAGAAGAGATGAATTGTGTGATGCATGCCTTTAATCCCTGCCCTTAGGAGACATGAAGCAGGAGGATTGTGAATTTGAGGCCTGCCTGGGCTACATAGTGAGTTCAAGGCTAATAGTGGGCTGCATAATGAATCCCTGAATTGATCCCCACCCTCCAATAACTGGAAAGAAATTGTGTGGCTCTTAGTGCGCCTACAGTCCCAGCTTTCTCTTGTAACATTCTAGTCCGCTTTGAGTTACACTGAGTTTTCACATACATTGTTTTGATAAACTGCATTTCCCTCATTTCTTTTATTTGCTACCACAGTATATTACTTGTGGTGGTTCAGTAAATATTTAATGAATCAACAAGTCAAATAATAGCCCCTGCTCTATACCTGCTTCATTCAGCGAATATTTTACTAATAGCTGAAATAGAACAACCTGCTTCTAGCTTGATGTAAACACACACCATCAGCAACCATCTGTTGAAGAGGAAACCAAAGGCACCCTCTAGTGGCCTGTGAGCTCTCACATGGGAGTCAGGGCATTGAGCATGTCTAACTGAGCCACCAGAGGCCAAATTGCATCTGCTCATGGAGGCAACTGTTTCTGTGTCCCAGAAGCCCCAGGGAAGCCCCAAACACCAGATGGATCATTTTTTGCTGTTCATTGCTGTCCTCCACACACCTCAGTTCATAAATAAAAAGGAAGAGGAGAATGCACTGGTTTCACAGTCCATCTCTGTGTAATCCAGGAGCACAAGGTGGATTACAGAGACTGTCCCATGTTTGGGTTGGAACCACTTTCATGGGCCTCAGAGCCCTGCATATATAAGTAATCCATTAAAAAAAAATAAGCAGAGAGCCAGGTGTGATGGTACATACTTGTAATCCCAGCACTCTGGAACCTGAGGCAGGAGGATCTGGAGTTTGAGACCAACCTAGGCTGTATAGTAAGGCTCTTTCTTCAAAAAGCAATAGCTCTGGGATGGAGAGATGGCTTAACATTTAAGAGAGCTTACTGTTCTTGCAGAGGACCTGGGTCCAGTCCCTAGTACCCACATGGAGTAGCTCACAACTGCCTGGAACTCCAGTTCCAGGGAATTCCAACGCCTCTGGCTTGGAACACCTGCTGTGCACATATCCATACACAGACCTACATGTATATGTGCATACAGATATACACAGTAAACATATATATACATATACATACAAAAATGTCTACAAAGAAATCTAATTTAAGCTAAATTTATGCCTATACTTATGCACATAATTAAAAATAATAAAAATTAATCTTTAAAAAGAAAGATCTTACTTTTTCATTAAAATTATTGGGCTGTTGTATCTGCATATTTTACAAAATTAGGAGAAAGGACAAAAGAGCACGTGCTTTAAGCTCGTTTCCTACTTTACTTATAAGGACGGTTGGGAGCTGTTTCTGGTTACTTCTCCGCTTCTGTTTCTACATTCCTTTTCCAGTGGGATTTTAATGAGAATTAAATTTTAAGTGTAACTTTGGGTGCTAGAAAGATGACTCAGTGATGAAAGAGGGTGTAGTGCTTTTTTAGAGAACCCAGTTTAGCTCCCAGCACATTGTCAAGCAGGCTGATAATGGCCTGTAACTCCACCTCCAGGGCCTCTGGCATCCACAGGTACTGCACTTCCATGCACAAACAGAGACATGCACATAATACACATAATTAAAAATAATAATTCTGAAATAAAACCTTTGAGGGTGATGGGCTGAGGATGATGTTCCAGTGGTAGAGGGCTTGTGTCTAACATGTACAAGGACCTAGGTTCAGTCCCTTCAAGTAAATAGATGGTAAAGGAACTCATCCGTCTCTATCCTTGTCCTCCAGGGGTCATTGGTTGTCCTGCATTGGTTACTGAAAGTGCCTTTAATTGGACAACTCCTGTCCCAAGAGCCCATAGAGTTTAAGGCTTTGAGCAGGTTGCCCCAAGGTAGACCCTATGGGAGGTTCAAGTTTGGAACTGGGTAGTTCCTGAAAACCCCACACTGCGTTTGGAGGCAGTGAGAAGCCTCTACCACTAAACCAGGCCTGCCTGGGCACTTGCCAGTAGCCTCAGGAAGTGACACAATTTCCCTTTATGGGCTTTAGTGTGCTTACCCACAATGCCCCAAACCTTTTCTGTGGGTATCCATTGAGACATTCACTTATGTCTCCACAATGAGTTAGTGCCATGTGGACAGGTGAATGTGCTGGGCTACATCAAGGCTTAAGCTTAAGGTTGGCCCTGGAGTTTGCAGACCAGGGACAGAAGTGAGAGGAATGCACAATGATTAAAGTCCTGGAGTCCAATGAGCTGTTATGCTGTGGCCTGTCCAGGAGCAGCATACTTCCAAGAACAGCAGTTGAGAGCCTCCTATCCTGGGCTAGACTATCTCCAAGGACTCTAAGGTAGACAAGTTTCACTTCCATGTGGAATTCTGTTCCCAGAGGGCTCGGGCATCCCAGAAAGCAGGCAGATTGCATAATATGAACTGAAGACAGGTTTAGAAAGTCTATACCTGCTGCAGCTGCCACAGACCTCCCTACAACATAGCTGGGGCCAGAAGGAGAGAAGATGTGTGTGGAAATGCCATCTGGCAGGTGCAGGTACAATTGGGATTTGTGAGAGGTGGGCCTGGATTTACCTCCTTGGCTCTTGTCTTCTGGAGACACGAGGTCACATGGGTGGTGGCTCCCAACCTTTAGTGAGCACTAGGAATGGGGCTGTATACATCTTATAAATACCTGGGTGATACAAGGCCTAGGTGTAGAGAAATGCTGTAGACATTGATGGGGTGACAGACTACCTGCCTCCCTCCCTATTTCAACTACAGTCTAGGAAGGAAAGGAGAGGACAGGGCTCAGTGGCTCCTGGGTCAGATGTTACAGTGTGTTTTTCCCTGGGGACTGGGAGCCCCTACCTTTCCCTGAATGCTGGGTTAACCATCCCCCCCTGAACTCTGATACCTGTCAGCCACGGTCCTTGTGGTTTGAGGGTTAGGTAACTGAACAGTGGTGACCACAGATGGGATTGACACAGATCCAAAGCTGAGAATAGCTGGCCAGGTCTTGTCTACCTTAGTCTCCTCATTCAATGTCAGTGTTTCAGTAACTAGAGTTGGCAGTTGCTAAACGCTGTGCCCAGTGTACAGCTGCAGTGTGTGGTCTCATTCAGTCCTGCAGCAGCCCCAGCAGGTGTGGCCATGATTCTTACTCTGCAGATGAGTAGGTTGTGTCACCTGTCATGATCACCCAGTGGGACATGACAAGCCTATTCAGAGTCTGACCATCTAAGTGGGAGCCCAGGCTCTGTGGCCTGCCCCCTGTTAGAGAGGGCTACCCCCTCTCTGTGGGCCATCTGTGAACAGAATGGGCCTTTTTAGTTACCTCCCCTTCCTTACCCTCTGCAACTTCCAGAAAGACTGGGCAGGAGGACCGCAGGGTCCTAGTCTTCTTTGGTTATTCTCCTTGTGTCTGTGGTAAACTGCTGTCAGTGGAATTTGGGGTTTCCTGGCACTTTTTTAAAGCAATTTTATTAAAATACAATTCATATTTATTTAAAGTATATAGTTCAGTGACCTTTAGTACATTCAGAGTTATTTGTCTAGCACTGCAGTCATTTATTTATTCATTTGTTAATTTTTTAAAAAAGATTTCTTTCTTTAGTTCATTTTAAGTGTATATGTGGGCCTGAGTGTATGTATGTACCACATGCATGCAGGCAGTTGTGAGCTGTCATATGAGTGCTGGGAACCAAACCTGCAAGAGCAGCAAGTGCTCTAAACCACAGAGCCATCTCTCCAGCCCTTCACTTATTAATTTAAAAATATTTTATTATTTTTATTTATGTATATGAGTGTATTGCCTCCATGTGAGAGGTGGGCCAACTTCATGCAATGCCACTGCTTTTGCAGAGGACCTGGGTTCAATTTCCAGCACCCACATGGTGGCTATGAACTGTCCTTAACTCCATTTCCAGGAGAATCTGAAGCCTTCTTCTGACCTCTGCGGCATTACACTATATGGGTGCGCTCACATACATGCAAGCAATACACTCATACACATAAAAGAAAAATAATTTTTTGGGGGGGGGTAAAATATTTTTTAAAAAAAGATTTTTTGTGCATATACCCACCCCACCCCAGGCAGCCTCCCTCCTGTCTATGTAGATGTGTGGATTCTAGGCTTTTGATACAAAGGGAGTCATGGGCTGGGGATGTAGCTCAGTTGGTAGAATGCTGGCCTGGTATGCACAAGGCCCTGAGTTCAGTCACCCAGGACCACATAAAACAGGGTGTGGTGGTGCACATTTTAATCTCTGCACTCAGTAGGTAGGAGGCCAAGGAGGAGTTCAAAGTTTCCCTTAGCTACATAGAGAGTTTGAGGCCAGCATGGGCTACATGAGATTGTGTCTGGTGTGTGTGGGGGTGGTTATACAGTATGGTAGTATGTGGTCCTTGGTCTGGCTTCTTCTACCCAGTAGGATGTTCAAGTTCACCTTGCTGTCTCTTTTATTTCCAAAGAACCCCCCAGTTTTAACTGTACCATATTTTCTTTACCTGCTTCTCAGCTGGTAGCTGCTTGGGTAGTTGCACATTTCTACCAAACGTGGTCCTAAGTTACTTAGCATTCACTCTGTCCATCTGTGGGTTTTTAAAAAATCACTGCTAGTCAGATCTTTACTGTAATTAGAATTGTAATATGGCCGGATGTGGTGGCACACAGGGAGGCAGAGGCAACCGGATGTCTGTGAATTCAAGACCAGACCAGTCTACATAATGAATTCCAGCCAGTTGGAGCTACAGGGAGACCCTGTCTCAAAAAGCCCCGCCCCCCCAAATTTTAAAATGTTCAGACATCTGACAGTGAGCTGCTGTTTTTCTTATTCTTTTTTCAAGTTCATTAGTACTTTCTAAGGGCTTAGGACCTACTGTGTGCTCCACTCTGTAATGTTTCACACTTCTGTGAAGACCTACTATGTGTGTTTTCACAAGCACAACTTAGATTTTAAAGAGATGATTTGAAGCCTGGATTCCCAGTCTCCCCTGGTGTTCTGCTCCAAACTCCTTGACTAGGCCCAAGTCTTGAGCGCATTGCCACTTAGTTGCCAATTAGTAATTTGTAGCAGGCATGGAACCTACAAAGGAGACCCTGTAGTCTATGGCCACTAGGCAGGCAGGCAAGCAGGCGGGTAGGCAAACTACTAGGAGAGAGCTGGATCCGAGGGCAAGTCAGGATGGCCAGCCTGCCTGAGGATGTGGCCTGGACATAGCTGTGGGAGGAAGGCGGATGACAGACACAAGCATATGAGTAGAGAGATGTGAATAAGACAGGTGCTGGGGAGAACAGGACACTGAGGTCAGAGCACAGAGCTTCAGAAAGAGGCAGAGACAGGCAGCTGAGAAACTGTAAAGAAGCCATCTACCTAGCCTCTGTCCTTACAACTGGATAAAGCTTAGGGCTGCTAGAGAGGCTTTGGTGCCTCTGATACCAGAAACTAGACATGCCTGCACTTATGAAAGGAGCCCCTGGGGTCCCACTGAATCAGTCCTGCACCAAGAAGCCTGGGCAAAGTTTTCTTTTTTTCTTTTTTTAAAAAATTTTATTTATTATTTTTTTGTTTTATGCATATGCATGTATTGCTTGTATGTAGGTAAGTACACCCATGTCATGCAATGCCCACGGAGGTCAGAGGAGGCTGTCGGATCCCCTGGGACTGGAGTTACACAGTTGTTAGCTGCCATGTGGGTGCTGAGATTCAAACCCGGGTCTTCTGCAAGAACAACCAGTGTTCTTAACCACTGAGCCATCTCTCCAGTCCCTGGGCAGGGTTTCCTAAGATGACTCTAGATGATGGTCACTGGATAGATTGATTAGAGGCCCTGAATGTTTTACCCATCAGTTATGTCTGATTTCAGGAATGCAAGGAAGGACTACATCACTGCCAAGTACATCGAGAGGAGATATGCAAGGAAAAAGCATGCAGACAATGCAGCAAAACTCCACAGCCTTTGTGAGGCCGTCAAAACCAGAGATATTTTCGGATTATTCCAAGCTTATGCGGATGGTGTGGACCTTACAGAAAAAATCCCACTGGCCAATGGACATGTAAGGGTGTGGCTGCTGCTTATCTAAAAGAAAGATAAAGACTAAGGGGTGAAATGAGGGTGGCCTATTCAGCTGAGTAATTCTCCAAAAAAAAAGAAAAATTACTCACTGGGCTTGGAGAAATGACTGAACAGTTAAAAACACTTGCTGCTTTTACCCGGGCATGGTGTTACACACCTTTAATCCCAGCACTTGGGAAGCAGAGGCATGTAGATCTCTCTGAGTTCAAGCCATCCTGGTCTACAAAGCAAGTTCCAGGTCAGCTGGGGCTACAGGGAGACCCTATCTCAAAGACCAAAACAAACAAACAAAAAAACCCAAAAAGCTGCTTTTGCAGAGCACCTGGGTTTGGTTCCCAGCACCCACATGGCAGCTCATAACTGTCTGTAACTCTTGGTTCCAGAGGATCTGATGCCCTCCTGGCTTCTGCAGGTACCAGGCATGCACATGCATGGACATACACATATAAAATAAATAAATCTTTTTTAAAAAAGATTACACTCATTCCATAGAAACAGGTGGCATATTCTTTTCTTAATTGGCAGTTAAATATACAGATTGAACATACTTTATCATAAATACTTGGACCAGAAGTGTTTAGGAGTTTAAATTTTTTTCAGATTTTGATATACTTGCATATATCTAATGAGATCCTAAAGATAGGAGCCAAGTCTAAGCATAAAGTTGGCACATATTTTGCATATTCCTTATACATGGAAGCAATTTTATAGACTATCCTTAGTGTTCCTCCATTTTGACCATAGCCATCACTTGAGCTCAGTGTGGACTTTCTACTCTGTCATGAACTTTGGAACTTCCTAGTATTTTACATGTATGACTTTTGCATTAGAGATGCTCAACCTGTTTGTGAACTTTCAGTGTGGAATGCAGTGTTTTGATATACATTCACATTGTAGAATGACTTCACTTCATATGCTTATTTTTTGTTGTGGCCACATTTTAAATGCACTCTTAGTGATTTTGAAACATATAGCACATTATTAACTGCTGTACAATAAAATGTACTTCTTTTTTGGAGACAAGGTCTCACTCTACAGCCCAGGCTGGCCTTGAATGTATAGAAATCCTGCCTCAGCCGCTTATGTGCTGGAATTTCAGGTGCATATCTCCACACTTAGTCTTCCTCCTCTTTATAGCAGAACCTTTGTATGTTGGTTTGTGGGGGTTTTTTTTCTCTTGTAAAGGTTTATTTAATTGATTTTGTGTGTGTGCATGCACGCACACACTTATGTATATATACCATGTGTTGTGCAGGTGCCTGTGGAAGCCAGAGGGTATCAGATCCCAGGGAGCTAGAGTTACAGGCAGTTGTGAATTACCTGATTTGGATGCTGGGAACTGAACTCATGTCCTCTGCCAGACCAGCAAGTGCTCTTAACTGCTGAAACAACTCTCTAGCCTTGTTGATTTAGTCCTAAACCAAAGGTGTAATTAATGCCAGCTATGAAAAGAAAGCCCATCTGAAGTGGAGGGGACTCCATCCTCTTAGAAGTCCTAAAGCCTCCAAGGACCTTCCCTACCATGAACAGATTTAGGGAGAGCCTCATGATTGTGTGGGAAGCTGAGCCTGGGGTGTCAGTGAGGCCATATAGAGGAGTACACTGACAGGGTTGTCTTAAAACCTGCACCCCATGTTTTCTCCTTCCAGGGGGAATGGATAAGACACCTCCCCCAGGCTCCTGAGGTTGCTCTCAGGACTGGGTCTGTGGTACACTCTCAGTACCTAGGGAGCTGATAAGTCTCCTGATCTTTTCCACAGATTCCTCATGGGCATGCATTCTATCTGCAGAACCTCCTGTCCTTAGGACTGGGTTCGCCCTGTATGGCAGAATGCTATATAAGGCCATCATGTTTGGATCCAGAATTTCATGCCAAAATGTCTGAGTGGGGACACTAGGGTGGCAAAATTTTCTCCTGGTGGCACAGGAGTGTCCTAGATATGGGCTAATGCACTTGCAAACCATGACCATTCCATTCTCTTTCTAGAGAAAAGCCCTGAGTCTAGGGCAGGGTGTACCCAACACTGCTCTGCTGTGGCCAGAGGACTGAGCAGGCAGGGCAGGTGGGAGAAGAGGCAGGTTCCCCTACCTGTGCCTCCTATATTTTGGCTGTTTCTTTCTATTCTATTGTTTGACCCACCTACCTGCTTGAAATAACCCCTATTCATCTCGTCTCTCCACTTGCCAAAATTACCTTCAGATGCACCTTGTAGTATGAATTGAAGACCATGTAGGTATTAGCATTATCTGTAGGCACAGGTGAGACGCTTGAGCCTTGCTTTAAAAATACACATCTCGCCTTTACCCTGGGAGCAGGTGAAGGGATTAGTTTGTAAGAGGCCTGGGGAGCCGTGTGGAGGCTTTGAACAGGACCTTTGCTTACAAGCACCACCTTGCGGTGTTGATGTGCAGGGATGGGAGAACACAGGACTTGAAAAAAGACTTGGACCTGAAATCCCCAGAATTCCTCACTTATTTCCTGTGGAATAAGGAGGTCATAGGACCAGTCTCTAAATTGTACCTTCTCAGGGTAAAGATTACTGTGGAGACTAAAAGCAGGCACTCTGTGCCTTAGGTAAATAAACTTTTTGGGAAAGGTACAAAGGGTTTTGGAAAGGACATACGATGTTTTACCTTGGTGAGCCTGAGGCTGAAAGATCCTGCTAGATTTGGAATGTTTTGGTTTGGTTTTCAGGAGCCAGATGAGACGGCTCTCCATCTCGCAGTCAGGTCCGTGGACCGGACTTCCCTTCACATTGTGGACTTCCTGGTGCAGAACAGGTGGGTGTTCTAAGACTAAGGGGAGCCTTTATTCTTGTTTCTGGGGCTTCTGAGGAGGGGGCTAGGTACAGCCTCACCACTTGAACTGTGTTGCCAAGATGCTCCTGTCTTCGGGGATAAATATGAATTATGGGACATAAGAAGTGCTGGCAGCTGTGGAGTGTAATAGCAATCCCTAAAAAAGCCCTGGAGTGTGAGATTAGAAGACCTTCATGGTATCTACAAGATCCAACCTCCAGAGCCTAGGAGAGACTGTAGCGAGTGAAGGCTGTTGGACTTCCAGCCTAGGAAAGCAGACCATGTGAGCGCTGGGCCACCAGCTGTGATTGGAGCATTTTTCAGATTTGTCTTGTCGGTCTTCCAGTCTCCAGGACAGCAGGGAGCTGTGAGGGAATTAAGATGCATACATTAGGCACAGGTCTTAATCAGAGATTATAAACCAGAGCACTGGACTGTGGCTGTTTTGCCAAGAGGCTGCTTGGAAGCCTTGACTAGAAATGGGCTTTTGAGATGCACTTACAGTTTACCACAGACACAGGAGTCCCTGTTATTCAGAGCATGCTGCTTTTGTTGTGTGTACCTGCCTGGCAGCTGCAAGCCACATATCAAGACCCTTTAGTGTGTATTTTGACTCTTGTTCATGGTTGGGTCTGGCTGTACTGCAACAGAGGGTGCTAATTAAAGGTCACGGAACAAGCTGTGAGTAGACTGGGAAATTCCAGCATGAAAAGGAGTGGTTTGTTGTGACCCCAGCCTTTCCCTGCCCTCCAGGGCAGCTGAATGAAGAAACAACTGGAAAGTAGAAATTTGAAGGGCAGTGGGTCCTAAGTCCCGCAGCTCCTTCAGAGCCCAAGTTCACAGGACTTCTGGTTGAGCAAATTAGACACTCCATGGTCCAGCCCAGCCCCCAGCATAGAACAGGGTTCCACCGACATTTTGATAAGCAGCTGATTAGAACCTCTGTCTCCGTGTAAATTCTCCAAGAGCAGGAGAAGGAAAAGCCTGGTTTTTCTTCCATTTTAGAAGAAAGACAACAGTAGAGGATGCATTGGTTAAAGAGGGTTGGGCTGGGGTGAGCTCAGTGGTAAGCACTTTCCTAGCATGCATGAACCCTGAATTCCATCCTCAGCACTGCAAAAAAAGATAAGAAGGCTCTTTCTTACATGGAAACAGTGGTTTCATTCTGATGGGAACAGAGTGCCACCCAATGAGGACACTTTTGTCCCTGATTGTCTATCCATGGACTCAAGTCTCTGTATCCCTCCTTGGTGATGGGGACACTTTGGGTAGAATGGCTTATCCCATGTCTGTGGAGCAAATACACATTTTTTGGGATAACCTGGTATTGTTGTATGTTGGAAGAACATGTGAGACTCTTCTGAAGTGTTTGCTCGTCATCTCCTTTCGGAGGACTATCCCAGGGCCAGCAGGGTTGTAGGAGCCTCGGGACACTGGACTGGAAAAGTAGATTTCCTTCCTTAATGGAGACATCAAAATGAAAAAAGATTGAGCCCAGTGTGGTGGCATATGCCTTTAATCCCCGCACTTAGGAAGCAGATCTCTGTGAGGCAGGTGGATCTCTATGAGATCCAGGCCAGCCTGATCTATATAGTGAGTTCCAGGCCAGCTGGGGCTACAGGGAAACCCTGTCTCAAAAAGGACCCCCACCCCCCAAAAATGCAAGTCCTTCAGTGTGGCAGGAGGGGCCAGCTGTGCAGGCTGAACAGTGGGTCTAGTGAAAAGGGTTCTAGGCTTTCCCCAACCCCCACTGGGAAGCAGCATGGCCACCATTCCCTGTTGGTCCCTCTGCCATCATTACATTCTCTCCCACATGGCCTGTGCTAGGACTGCCTCTTCATACCAGCAGGGCTGATACCATCCACCTGGGGGATTGACAGTGCTTTGTCCTACCCACCGTGGGGCTGATCTAGAGAAGTTGCTTGCTGCAACTTGGCTATGAATGCAGGCTGCTTCTCCTAGTCAGGTGCCCCATATTCTCTGTGGGGCAGTTTCTAGTCTTCTGGCCTATGACTATTCTTTCTCTTTCTCTGACCCTGTTCTGAGCAGTGGGAACCTGGATAAACAGACAGGCAAGGGCAGCACAGCCCTGCACTACTGCTGCCTGACGGACAACGCCGAGTGCCTCAAGCTCCTCCTGCGGGGGAAGGCCTCCATTGAGATAGGTGAGCTGCCTGGGGTCCAACAGGGATGAGGCTGTGATCTCTTCCAGCCTCTTGTCTACCTAACTGCTCTCCTCTGATTCCGGTCTGCACTTCTCTATTGCTGTTGCTGTTGCTGTTGGAAGCAGTGTTCATGCTGGGCCCCTGTCCTACCTGAAAAGAAGAAAATGTTCCTTAGAGAGACAGAGACATAGATAGAAAGAGCCTCTCTCCACTGTCCTTGGAAGGATTCCTTGGCCTGGGCATTGACAGGCACCACCCACTGTCTGTCTTAGCCTTTGCTTGTACCTGCAGGCTTCAGAAAGGCCGAGGCTAGGCCTTGCAGCAGGGCTGAGCTGTGTGAATCTAGACAAGACTGGGAGTGTCCGCCAACCCTGGCTCCCCACCAGGATCAAACTGAGCCCTTGTGTCTAGGAGACTTTGAGGAGGTGCTGTGCTGTCTTCTCCTTTTATCTGTAGCCTCTACAGTGGATCCTGATCCTGCCTGACCTTCATTTCCCCTCAGTCATCTGTCCACTTGACCACTGACAAGGGCCACTGCACAGGGCACTGAGATAGTCTGCTGTTAGTTCCTGAAGGAGAACTACTGAACAGAGAGGGAAGAGTAGACTAGGAAAGAGGCATGTCCTGCTAGGAAGCCGTGAGTCCCAAAATTAATCAAGCCAGCCATGGTGGCACATACTTTAGAGACAGAGAGAGGCAGGATTTGAGGCCAGCGTAGTCTATATAGTACGTTCCAGGCCAGACGGGACTATTTACGGAGACCCTGTCTCCGGGGGCAGGAGTAAACTTTGTTGGCAGAGATTTACATAGAAAAAGTACCAATTTCAAATGTATGAGTGACTTGAAAGTTTATTACCTTAAGTGCATGGGCTGACTATGTATGGTCTTGCTGAGGAGGCCCCGCCTCTTGATAGCTTGTAGTGAGATTGATCCTTTTAGCTAATTGGCTGCTTCAACAGTTTAAAATTTTTATTATATCTCAGTTAGCTCAATCCTTTCTTTTAAAGTCATACTTTCCCTACTCTGTTGTAGCCTGTGCAGTCATATGACAGTCAATCCTGCCCAGGTTGGCCTACTGCATCCCATAAGTCCTGCTCAGTTTAACAAGGTGTTTCTTTTCTGCAGTCCGCTTGATAGAACTTGGAATCACCATGGAAACAAACCTCTGGGCATTTCCTGGGAGTTTCTAGATGAGGTTGATTAACGTGGGAAGAACCACCCTAAGTATGGCAACATCTCATGGGCTGGGGTCCTAAACTGAATAAAAAGCATAAAGTGAGCTGAGCATCAGCATTCATTCTCTCTCTACTTCCTGACTGTGGGTGCAGCGTGGCCAGGTGCAGTGTAGCCAGTTGCATCATGCTTCCAATGCCATGGCTTCCCCACCATGATGAACTGTTCCCTCAAACTGAGCCAAAATGGACCCTTCTTCCTTAAGTAGCTTTTCTCAGCTGCTGTGACTTTTGTTAGGTCACCCTTAGAGAGCAGACCCTTGCCAAGTATGCTAGTTGGCTCTCTGTCACTGTGTCAAATACCTGAGAAATCAACCTAAGGAGGAGGCGTTTATTTTGGTTTGTGGTTTCAGTCTGAGGACAGCTGCTTTGACGGTGAGTCAGAAACGTAGTGGAGGGGGCTGCTCACCTTTTTGGTGATCAGGAAGCAGAGAGACAGGGACAAAATACAGTCTTCAGTAGCATGTCTCCACTGACCTGTTTCTTCTAACCAGGAATGTTTCATCCATTGGTGAAGTTAACCCCCTCAAGATCTAGGGACTAAGCCCTCAACATCTGAGCTTTGGGGACATTTTATATGCAAACTGTAACACCAACTTTGGCTGTATCTCCTTTCTTCTGTCTTGACTTTCAGCAAATGAGTCAGGAGAGACGCCGTTGGACATAGCCAAGCGTCTCAAGCATGAGCACTGTGAGGAGCTGGTGAGTCTCCACTGTGGGTGGATAGGGGATGGGGTATGCAGGGAGAGAGGGTCTCCTTGGACAATGAGCAAGGGCCACGGTGCAGCACACATCACAGTACACACCTGCTGGAACAAGCTAAGTACTGACCTGCAGAAACATCCTGGGGAGTCTTTGCTGGCCAGATGGCTACCCACTTCTGATGATACCTACAACTTAGTATGTGCCTATGAGGCACGCGGATTGAAGGCTGGGCTATCACATTGCCTGTATTCTAGTACTTATGAGGGCTGAGCTCCCTATTTCACAGCATGCCCAGCTGGCTTTCTACTTTCTTCCTGCCCAGATTGTACAGATCAACCTGCTCTGTCTTTCTCTTCTGTTCCAGAAAGAGGGGTGCTGTGGACAGTGGATGGAGCCACTGTCAGCAATCCTGGGTGTCCCACTGCAGCTTGAGGCACACACTCATTCTAGCTGTTCTTCATTTGTGAAGTTGAGTCAGTCACCCCCCTTTGCAAGGTTATTTTAAGAATTATTGAACTCTGTAAAGCAGTTGGTACATAGTAAGTACCCAATCAATAGCACTATTAATATTAAATGCTACACAAGTATAGGATGAGCAACAGGTACTATTCTAGACACTTCATATCCATTAACTCTAATCTTTGCAACTACAACAGTTTCTACCATGAACCCCATTTTATAGATGAAGAAGCAAGTATAAGAAGGCAAAGTAACATCCAGAGTCATATAGCAACGCTCTGGCTTTTGTGAAAATTAAACCCTACATAACAACTACATGTATTGACATATCTTCTGTACATCTCAAATAAGCTAGCTATCTCCTTTCTGTGAGAGAGTTAAGGAAAAAGTAATTGTGGGACTGGAGAGATAGCTCAGAGGTTAAGAACACTGATTGTTCTTGCAGAAGACTCGGGTTCGAATCCTAGCACCTACATGGCAGCTAACAACTGTCCGTAACTCCAGTCTCGGGGGATCCGACAGCCTCGTCTGACCTCCGCGGGCATTGTACAACACAGGTGCACTTACCTACATGCAGGCAATACACGCATACACATAAAAATAATAAAATATTTTTTAGAAAAAGTAATTGTTTGTGCAGGGCTTAGTTCTCTTGCTGTGAGAAGGCTGGGGTAACAGCAAATGCCTTCCTTTCCTGAGGTTCAGTTGACTCCAATATGCAGTGCTGATACCTGCAGGCTGCCCTTTTAGGTCCCAAACATCTCTTGCTTGTGTGGCACACTCCACAGATTACAGAGCACTGACAAGGAGACGGAAATGTCGGGTTGTCCTGTGAATCAGATATGAGAACTCCACTGAGACTTAGATATAAATGAACTGACTTTGGGCAGAATGGATGTTCTCTGTGAGACCTTCTAAGACCCTCCTCCCTGACTGCCTGCCTGCTTTTGGTCTGGATATTCTTGGGTGACTGTCCCTTGTGGCCAAGCATGCACTAACCATCCCTCATTCTTCCCAGCTGACTCAGGCCTTGTCTGGAAGGTTTAACTCGCACGTTCATGTCGAATATGAATGGCGACTACTGCACGAGGACCTGGATGAGAGTGATGATGATGTGGATGAGAAGCTGCAGGTCTGTGCCTCACTGCCACATGGTAAAGGGTTTGATGAGCTTCATTCAGAGCAGGGTGGGGCCTGGCCTGTAATCAAGGCAGAAAACTTTTAGGCGGGGGGATCTTTTGAGAAAGGTCTCCTGTAGCCCCAGCTAGCCTGGAACTCACTATGTAGACCAGGCTGGCTCTAACTCATAGAGATCTGCCTACCTCTGCCTTCCAAGTGCTGGGACTAAAGGCATGCACTGCCATACCCAGTGGCAGAAAGCTTTTTAGCAGGAAAGAAAGGACAACTTTCTTTATGTGCACACTGATCTAGGTGAGTTTGGGGTCTTGTGCTTCCCACTCCTCACCTTGCCTTGTAACTCTAGCCCATGCTGATGGAAGAACCGGTGGTTCTTTGGTGACTGTTGGAGGGGGAGTTGATCAGGTGCTGGAGTAGGGAAAGGGCCTTGCTTGCCATGGAGTCATTACACAGAGATCCACCCAGCAGGTGACCATGTGAGGCATGGATACGTGTGCCTATAACCCCAGGCACAGGTCTATGTCTCACTGCCACAGGGTGAATGGCCTACCCCATAATCAAGGCAGAAAGCTGTTTCACAGGAAAGTACAACTTCCTTTCTGTATTCATTGACCTTGGCAGGTTTGGCATCTTGCCCTTTCTACTTCTCTCCTAGGCAGATCCTGAGAGCTCACTGGCTGGCCCAGCCTAGCTGAAATGGGAAGCTTCTGAGCGAGAGACCCTGTCTCAAAGCAATGAAACAGAGAAAGATAGAGGATACCTGATGTCCTCCTCTGGTCTCTGTATGTACACACACAGATGTACACACCACACACTTGAATGTACGGCATACACATACACAACTCACAACATAACCATAAACAAGAAAGAAATAGGGAAAGGTATACTATTTAACATGTGAGGAGGGTCAGCAAGGTTACATAAGTCATTCAAGGTCATAGATTCAGACATCAAGCTGACATTTAACATGTGAATTGAATCTTAAGTTACCGAATCATAATTCCAACTATTTGTTTCTAATAAAGCACATGACCTTCAGGAAGAGCCAGATCTGCCATTGGGTCTAAAATGTCAGTTTTTATTACACTTAGCTCTGTCAGAATGGCTCAGAAGCAACCATAGATGATATGTAAATGACAGGCATGGTTGCATTTCACTAAAACTTTATTTATAAAAGCAGCTGGTAGGCTGACAAGATAACTTAGTGGGTAAACTCACTTCCTCCATGCCTGATAACCTGAATTTGATTCCTGGGACCCATGTGGTAGGAGAGAACCAACTCCCACAAGTTGTCCTTTGACCTCCATGTGTGTATGCATGTGCACACATGTGTAATTTTTTTAAAAAAGCAAGCCGTATCCCAGAGACCAAGATTTTATTTACTCCTGATTTAGAGGGCTCTCAACAATTTCCAGGAATATGAGAAGAAAATGTTGATGTGCTCTGAATTAGTCACAGAGCTACTGGAAATTGAACTTGGCTGTTCTGTCATGTAAGATAGTCTGTTTGGGAAGGGGGACCTCAAGGACAATGCAGAGGTAAGCCAAGAGGTAAGGTTGGTAAGATGAAATAACTTCTGTTTGAAATCCTTCACTGAAATCCTTCAGAGAACGGAGAAGTAGAACTAATAAGTCCTGGCTTAGTATGAGTAGGTGTATTTCAAGACACAAAATGAGTCAGCTTTTAAAATCCTGTGACTCTCATGCAGCAGGGCAAGGCTGAAATGGTCCCCTGTGGAACAGCAGTGGTGTGCATGAGTTTTCACTTTTTCATTGAGTTGGTATCACCCAGAATCTCAGCTGCATCTCACGCTCTTGCTCTGGCATTTCTCTGCAGCCTAGTCCCAACCGACGGGAGGACCGGCCAGTCAGCTTTTACCAGCTAGGGTCCAGCCAGCTTCAGCCCAATGCTGCGTCTTTGGCCAGAGATGCTGCAAACCTCGCTAAGGACAAGCAGAGGGGCTTTGTGCCCAACATCTTGCAGAATGAGACCTACGGAGCTATCCTGAGTGGCAGCCCACCCTCCTCCCAGTCCACAGCTCCCAGCACCACCAGCGCACCCCCACTCCCACCCCGGAATGTTGGCAAAGGTACATAACTTTGAGTCCCCTGTGAATGCATATGGGTTTTGGCTTTGACAACTTTGATATGTGGGTGCTCGTTTCATGGTTATTTTCTTTTTGCTCCCTGAAGGAATCCCATCATCCTTAGCATGCTAAACAGTGGTAAAGATCTTGCTTGGGTTTTTACTCTGGCAGGGGGGCACACTGGTTAACACGGAGCCACCCCAGACAGGCCAGAGGCAATGGATGAGTGGACCTGCAGCTGGTCAGCTGAGATGCCCTCTGCTGCTCTTCCCTAGTGCCTTTCTCTCTTCTTGTCCTCTCTTGCTCCCTTCCTCATGCCTTCATTCTTCCCTTTCTTATTTCTCGTGTGTGTGTGTGTGTGTGTGTGTGTGTGTGTGTGTATGCATGTGTGTGTGGACCAGCTTATGGCACTGTGATTATTTGGTATCTCTAGGATCCCTTAAAAATGAAGGAGTAAGCTGGGCGTGGTGGCACACTCCTGTAATCCCAGTACTTGGGAGGCAGAGGCAGGTGGATCTCTGTGAGTTTGAGGCCAGCCTGGTCTACAAAGTGAGTTCCAGGACAGCTGGAGCTACAGGGACACCCTGTCTCAAAAAGACAAAAAAAAAGGAGTAAAGCCGGGCGTGGTGGCGCATACCTTTAATCCCAGTACTGGACACAGAGGCAGGCGGATGTTAGAGTTCAAGACCAGCCTGGTCTACAAAGCTATATAACAAGTTCCAGGCAAGCTTAGACTACAGGGAAACCCTGTCTCAAAAAGGACAAAAAAAAAAAAGAAGAAATAGTTTGTCTGATAGTGAGGACCAGCTGGACACTGCTTGTTGAAGTGGCCAGCTCAACATTGCCAGGTCTGCCAACCTTGGGTAGTAGTCTTCAGGGCCTCCAGGTCAAGGAGAGGCTGCTCAGGCTTTGTTGGGCCAGGAAAGAGCAAGAGATTCCACTCGCTGTCCCCTGGCTGTTGCTGCTGTGCACAAAAGCACATTATAAATCGTCTCTCGTCACAGTTGGCCACTGGTGAGGGGAGGGCAGTGTGGGAATCAGTAGTCAGAAGACCAAGCTGAACAAAGCACCACGTGTCATTATGCTGCGCAAGTCCTTTTCAACGTTGCTAGGCTCCATTTTCCTTGTTCTTCTGAGTATCTGAAGGACCCTCCCACGCTGCCCTGCTCTAGCACTCAGGGAGACCCAGCTCATCATCCTCCTGCCTCCCACAGAGCATTGATTCCACTGGGGTTGGTGATCACTCCCTGTCGCCTCCTGCAGGCTGCCCATGGCAGTGCAGGTCCTTATAGACATCTCACTGCTTCTCCCGAGGAGATGTGTGTTAATTCTGAAAGACCCAGTCAGAAGGACTGGCCATCTGCCTTCCCAGGAGCAGCTTATGCTGGCTGCATATAACAGGAGAGACTTCATTTGGTCTATTGGTGGTGGAAAGGACTGGTAAGCTCTTCACCTTGATTTCTTAGTTTGTAACAGTCAGAGGGTTTGCTTTTTCTCATTCTTTTTGTCATCCTCTCTGTAGCTACATTTCTTCAGATAAAGTAAATTGTACCCCTCTCTCTTATCTCCCCTGTCCACACTTGGTCGGAAAGTGGAATTCTCATCCCCTGGGGGATAGAGTTGACATCATTCTGTGTCCAGCACTGGCCACAAGACAAGTGTAAATCCATCCTGACCTGAGAGGGTGTAGCTAATTCTCACTGCCAGCCCCAGTCCTCCCCATGGACTGCATAACCATGGCACAGGGGCACATCTGTGCACTCGATTAAAGGGCACTCAGTGAGAAAGACTCAGAGCTTTGTGAAGCAGAGGATGCGACCAAGGACGTGTCATCTCTGTGAGGGCCACCTGAAGCTACTGGGTATCTGTACCAACTTCTAGGCAGAAATGTTACAGGAGGCTGGAAGGGGAGCCATACTCCTTGAGTCTGGTCCATACCCTTCCTCCTACCTGTGCTGGCAGAAAACAGGGTCTCCGTGACCCACATAAAGATGTAATGGAAGGGCAGAGATGAGCAGAAGTTCCATAGAATGCAATACTCTGGAGATAAATTGTGGCTATTTATTTCCCTCTTTGACCAATGTATTTAAAAAATTTTAAATTTCACCATCCAATTGAAAATGCCAATTCATCCTGGGGCATCTTTGGTTTGGTGCATCTCAATATCCCTACTAGAGGAAAGAGTAACTCTCAGAGTTTTATTGCTGTTCTAGAAGGCTCATGTTGACCATTTTATTAGTGAGAGTATCAATAACAAAGTGTTTTGTTTCTGTTTTTGTTCCATGTGTGTGCATGCATGTGTGTGCATGTGTGTGTGTGTGTGTGGGTTTAGTTCAGACAGCCTCCTCAGCTAACACCTTGTGGAAGACAAACTGTGTAGGTGTGGACGGTGTAAGCAGGCAGCGATCTTCGTCAGATCCGCCAGCTGTCCACCCACCGCTGCCCCCTCTGCGAGTGACATCTACCAGTATGTTTTTTTTTTTTTTTCCTTTTTCCTTTCTTGCCAGTGGGCCTTGTAAATCTGGAAGTCAGGGGACACTATTGGCAGCTACCTGGGGAGGCAGCTGCAGGGCTGCATACCTGCACACAGATCCATACTAGATGGTTGCCCCTGTGGCCCTCAACCCTTCCAGCCTCCACCTCTGCAGCCATAAACTCCTGTCCATGCCCACACCACACCCCCAGGATGCAGCCATAAACTCCTGTCCATGCCCACACCACACCCCCAGGATGCCTCACTCTTTTCTCTCTCTTTCTAAGCATTTTAGTGACATTTTCCCCCCACTACACTGCATGCTTCTTCCTTTGGCCATGTGGTGATTTTTCAATATTTGGGGAATGATCATTTTGATTATAATCTGGCATGATATTTTCAATGCCAGTGTGTGGTTGGAAGTTCTCAATGCTTGGGAGACAGGTAGTGGAAAAAGGCCTTTCTCCTCCTGCACAACTCAGCACCTTTCAGTGAGTCAGTGACAGGAGCCTTGTCTGCTCCCTGCCCTGCCTTGTCCTGAGTAGCTGGGATTCCGGTGTCTCTGGATTCACTACTTCCAGAGCATTGGGAATCTTCCTAGTCCAAAGTTCCTGTGACTTAAAAAGAAGTAGCTTTGTCTCAAGGACCTGCTACAAGAGTAGATGCCGATAGCCATGTCGGGGATAGCATATCCGGGAGGCTCTGCAGAGGCTCTCCAATGCCCGGTTCAGGATCTGGGACATGGCCCAGCTGAGACATGTCCAGGTCAAGCATCAAGGAGACTTATAACTGGTTCTCCTTCCTGCCTCTCAGTCTGGTGTCCCCGAGTTAATCTGCCTTTGGACTTTTCCTTTAGATGGAAAAAGGAGAGGAAACAAAGAGAGCATAAACTAGATCACTTCTTTTTTTTTTTTTTCTGCTCCCCGTGGACCCTCTTGTTCCATCTGTGTTAGCTTCTATCCGGAAGCCGGCCACTACCCCTGGCAAGTGCTTTGCTGTTTGTAAGAGAGGAGTGGGGTGAAGGCAGGCTCAGACTCATGATCTTTCTCTCTCTGTTTTTTATCAGCTCTGTCCCCCTTGGCAAAATATCTTTGCCTCTGAGCCTGTCCGCTGTCTGTAAAATACAGATGATAATAATAGAACCCTTCACCTTTTCTGCTTCAGACTGGGCCCCATACCACAGCTTGCTCTTACATCTTCTCCACTGCAAGCTTATGGAACACATAGAGCTTCATTCCCTTCTGGTGATAGGTTATCTCAGGCAAAAGAACCCTGGTCCAAACCTGCTGGACTCCTCAGGGCCAACACCAGGCCTGAGCCTGGCTCCAGACCCTGTCTACTCTGATTTTCAGGGAATTGGGAACAGAATCAAGGGCTGGCTTCCATGTGGGTTTCTGGCTGAACAGACCCCTAGCCACAAAAAAGTTTCCACAGTAATGAGGGTGGGCTTTCCTTATTGCTTCACCCCTCCCTGCCAAGGAGGAGACAGGCCTTTGGTTTCCCCCGGAGAGCGCTAGAAAAAGGAGCCCTTACTGCAGAAGGCTCCAGAAAGAGACCAGGTATGGATGGGGTCTGAGGGACTCACTCTCTGTTTCCCTCTCCCTTCTCTCTTCACAGATCCCCTGACCCCCACACCGCCCCCTCCTGTGGCCAAGACACCCGGTGCACTAGAAGCTGTGAGCCAGCCAAGCAAGCCCACTCAACCTGGGGCCTCACAGAGCAAGCCCCCACCCCTGCCACCCCAGCCACCCAGCCGCCTGCCTCAGAAGCCAGCTTCCGGGTAACCATCACCCCTGCCCAGCCACTCAGTGCTTGGCCACATCAGCCAGCCCTGCCCCTCACATTCAGAGGGCTTCCAATTGCAGTAGCCTTACTCCTTTATTGGTTTGGGTTTCTGTGTGGGCCCTGGAAATTTCCTTTGTTCCTCCCATACCTAGGTGAGAGACTAAGTCCTATGTAACTTGCTGATTAGCTCTTGAGTGTCTTAAAGTTAATTCTATAAGAATTATTTTAGCTGAAAATTTCTTACAAACTTATTTCTTAAATCCATGTAATCAATGTAGACTTCTGTTTAGTATAGACACTGGAAATTTTTAAATCAAATCCTCAAGACATGACCCCCTGTTGGCTCTGTGTGTTGCTCCTGGAGGCGTTATCTTGAATGCATAGACCCACTGCAGTATGACTTAGGTGTTTCCTACAGATGAGTACTTTCTCCCCCACACACACTACAAAGAGTTCCAGTTATCTCTTAATCTCTTAATCTGGATCTTTATATAGTAGAAAATGGATTTATTTTGGGGGGAGGGGGTATCTTTTCTTTCTTCTTTCTTTAGTGAGAATACCATTAAGATGCCAAGAACTGGGTGGTAGGTGATGTCAGAATTACAGAATACATATATGTACACACATGTACGCCCTATATGCATAACTACGTTTGGACATACACATTTGTCTCTGCATTCTGTGTCTTTCTATATTCTGTATAGGTACTGCATGCTAACCTGTTGTGCCATTGGAGCACCCTTTCTCTACTCTGTATCTTTCTGTGTTGAAATCCAGGAGCTCACATCAACAGCTCCAATTTCACTTGCTCTAGGGACAGATGGCACCAACAGTTACTGCCCCGAGACTATTTCGTTGTGCTCATGTTTTATGAGTCCTGTCATTATCAGGGTTGCAGGTGGCACAGTGGAGTAGCTTATCTTTGCCCATAGCATCTGAAGTCTTAGCTGAGAAGACTTTAAGGCCGGGAGCCATTTAATAATGTTGTGTCATGGAAGCTCTCCAGGACTTGGTAGCTGTTGCTGCCTCAACAGCACCTCAGCTGGGCTGCTGACCAAAATGCCCCACATGCATGTCATCCCTCCAGGTGGTATGGCTTCCTCACAACATGAGGCCTAGGCCAAGACAGGTTCCCAAAGACAGATCAGGCCCTGGAAACTGGCCAGTGTTCCTTCTGCCCTGTTAATGCATGAGCAGTGATTCAGTCTAGGTGCACCATGCATTGAGAGGGCCATGGTGTGCATGGAAGAGTCATAACCTGTGCATCTCTCCAGTGGCATTTTAATTTTCTCCTTTCCCACACTTGTTGCTCCCTTTTCTGGAGGTGAGAACCCTGGTTCCCACAATCGTAATGTCGCTCCTCTGTGAACTGCTTTCCTGGCTCTGCCTCCACCTCTCTTTGGGGCCAAAGCCTCTTTTCCTTGCTTGGATCACATCCAGTTCTAACACCCACACTTGGACATTAGTCTCTGTCCCCCATCAAGCCAGCTGTCCTCTGCTGTGTCAGTACCTCCTCTTCCTACCCAGGTTGGATCTTTAGTCAGGCCACCCTTCATGGATCACATATTCTGTCCATTCCCCTGAGGCTGATATTTCCCTTGCCTGGCTCTAACAAACTTCACTAATTTAATGCTTTAAATTCCTTTCCCCCATTGTCTCTTTTAATATAAGTCTCACTTTTCAGATGTCATATTGGCTCAGCCTTTCCTCTAAATGTGCTATCTTCTTTTTATCAAATAACTGCTCTGACAGTTCCCCCAGCCTCTCAAAGGTCAAATCAGCGTATTGTGTTTGAGATTGAACCGCAGACCCAAAGGTCTTTTTGGCTCCACCATTGTTAGCCTTTGGGTCCAGAGTCACTTCTTCAGGGAAAAGGTGGTAGTGACAACATGGTGGCTTCTCGTGCCTAGAGGTAGGGCTGGGAGTACAGTCCCCACCGGGTTCCATATGGCAGCAGGAGAATGGGCTCTTTCTCACCAGCTGACCCTAGGCCACCTCCTCTTCTATCCCTGCCTTGTTTCCTTGCCTATTTAAAAAATGTACTTCTAGCCGGGTGTGGTGGCACATACTTTTAATCCCAGCACTCGGGAGGCAGAGGCAGGCAGATCTCTGTGAGTTCAAGGCCAACCTGGTCTACATAGTGAGTTCTAGGACAGCTGGGGCTACAGGGAGACCCTGTCTCAAAAACACCAGAAAAAAAAAAAAAATGTACTTCTGAGTTTTCTCAATTTTTTCTTTTAATTTTCTATCAAGTTTTCCATTTCTGTTCTTATATAATGAGTCTAACTGTGTAGTATCTATTTTTTTCTTTCATAGGCTCTTTTTCTCTCATCTCTCCAAGACTGAATGATAGGGGTTGAGGGTACAGGGCTGGACATTTACTTTCATGTTACTTTCCTGCAGTTTTCTTTTTCTGGGGTTTTGGCCTCTGTGTGGTAGAGGCTGTTTCCTCTCTGTAAACTACTCTGTGCCCATCTGTCACTGCTGCAAGAGAGACATTAAACACTGGCTGGCAGATTGCACTCCTGTGCACAGAGCTGCCAAGGTAGGTGTGTTAGAGTTTCCTCACTGTTACAGATACCTAAGAGAAACAGTTTGAAAGAGGAAAGATTTATTCTGGTTAACAAGTTGCAGAGATTTCAAGGGCCATTGAGCTCCATTGTAGTGGGCATGTGGCAAAGTAGAGCATTATGGCAGCATGATGTGTGGGGGCAAAGCTACTTACCTCACAGCAACAGGAAGCAGAGAGAGAGTGGAGAAGGAGCCAGGGACATGATAGGTCCTTCAAAGGCATGCCCCTCGTGACCTGCTTCCTCCCATGAGGCCCCGCCTTCTAGTGTCTGTCGTCTTAATAATGCCATCAAATTATGAATCCATCAAGGGATAAACCCATTGATTAGGTCAGAATGCAACACTTCTCAAAAGTGTGTCAGCTGGAAACCAAGCCTTTAACACGTGAGGTGGGATTTCATATCCAAATCATACCAGTGGGTTTCCCTGAGGAGTCTGGTTTGACTGTTGAGAACTCTGAGTCTGAGTGTTTTTGTTTCTTGGGCAACTCGGGGTCACTGGTAGCTTACCTGAAGGGTATAAGTTTTCTGGGAGTTTAGAAAAGAAATAAAGTTTTTACTTGGTCACTTTGTTTTTGAGATGCTCTTACCAGCTGGTAGTCCCCAGACCAGACGTTCTCTGCTGTGCCCTTTAGTCCTTCTGTGGATTCCTGTAGATAACTGGGAATTCAGGGATTTGCTATCTCCTCACATAGTTAGTTGTTGGTTTGTGTGTTATTTTTTGATAAATCCTCTTATTTATTGCCTAGCCTGCCTGTCTCCTACTTCTAAAAGTTCTTGGCTGCATAGGGTTGTTACAGGAGACCTGGGACTCTTTCAGGGCTCTCCTCACACAGGCATGGGATTCTCCTGCTCAGATCAGCTAGGTTGATTAAAATTCATCCTTCCATTTCCAGCTTCGAAAATCTCAATCTCTCTCTCTCTGTCTCTCTCTGTGTCATCGTGCCCCCCTACCCCCACCCCTGCTTTCTCTTGTGATACTGGAGATGGAAGCCAGAGCTTCGTGCCTCCTAAGAATGCACTCCACACTGAGCAGCAGTCACATGTACTGCTTTGCAGAACATCTTTCTAAAATACAGTGCACACACATCCACACCTTCCTATTCTTAAACAGAGATTTGAAGTAAGATCAGCTGCTGAGTTACACTGTGACAAGCATGCTTCCCAAGTCCCTATACCAAATGGCCATGGGCTGTGCCTTTCCTGGTTCCTGAGTCAGAGCCCAGGCTTTGTGTTACCTTCCTTCTCCCCTTGTAATGTCCTCGTCCTTGGATTCTGTCTTCAAGCTACTGGTTTTTTATTTTTGTTTTTGTTTTTTCTTTTTTTTTTGAAATTCACATCAGCAATTTAAACAGCTTTTTTTTTGGGGGGGGGGTCTTTTTGAGACAGGGTCTCCCAGTAGCACCAGCTGGCCTGGAACTCACTATGTAGACCAGGCTGCCCTTGAATTCACAGAGATTCATTGGCCTCTGCCTCCCAACTGCTGGGATTAAAGACTATGTAGACCAGGCTGGCCTTGAACTCACAGAGATCTGCCTGCCTCTGCCTCCCAAGTGCTGGGATCAAAGGCATGCGCCACCATGCCCAGCTAAGTACTGCTTTTTTTTTTTTTTCCCCCGGTATTTTTTTTTTATTTTATTTTAATTAACTAAGTACTGCTTTTTAAGATGACAAGTTGCTTTGAAGTTCTAGACAAGAAACAACACTGCCCAGACAGCTGAGTCAATGCTAGCCAGCAAGGGCCAGGTGGCAGTATGCTCCCCGCAGTGGCTCTCCTGGTGCCCAGAAGAGCTAGAGCTAGGGCTGCTGCTGAGTTTTCTCTCTAGCGCTGCTTCACTGGTTTCTAATACAGCTGAAAGGAAAGGTGGAGGAGGATGAAGCAGATGATGTTAAGGTATGCCTGTCCAAGAGAGATTTGGAAGACTGGATCCAGCCTGTCACTGCTATTTTTAAAGAAGATTCAGTGTATACTCTTTGTAAAGGAAGTAGCTATACCCTCTCCGAATAATTTTGAGCATGGTATAAGTCTATCTTTTCAGATTTGTTCTCCTAGAACAGGAGGCAGCAAACCAGGAACCACAGGTCAGCTGTTGCCGCCGCTTATGTTCATGATTCACCAGCTAACAGTGGGTTTTGTACTTATACATGGTGGGAGAAAAATTCCAAGGAGGATGTTTTGTGGTATGTGAGATTCATATGGGATACAGATTTTAGTGCTTGTAAGTGAAGTTTCACTGGCATGGCACACTGTGTACTGATGCATCATCTAAAGCTGTTTTTCTGCCTCAGTAGCAGACAGAGTTGAATACTTGCTACAGAGACTCACCACTTATTTTTTATGTAAGAAGCCTAGGCTGGCCTTAAACTTGTGACCCGTCTGGCTCTTGAGTGTTGGGTACACTGGCTTTCTTTACTTGGCTTTTGAGAGGAAGGCTGGCCAATTAAGGTACTGGGCTGAGTCCCTCTTGTGAGCGTTTCATGACTGGGTTGACTCCAGGCTAGGAATTTAGCTCTTTAGCATGATGTCAGCCAGGACACACATGCCCAGAGGCAGTAGAAGTCACATTGGGCCCTTTTTTTTTTTTTTTTCCTGGTTCCTTTAATACAGAATACAGCCAGGTTTTGTTCTTTGCCCCTGCATTCTAAGGCTGACACCAGTGTCAGAGAGAGATGACGTGCATGGAAAAGTGGAAAGAAGTGGAAAGAATGCCATTATGGACTGAATTCCTCCTTCCTTTCTTTTCTTCCTCTGTCTTCCCAGGGCTTGCCCATCCTGGCCCTGTTGTATGTCTGGCACCTTGCTAACCCCTTAGGCAGCTGAAGATAAAGCTCCTCTCCTGGCCCTCCACAGACTTGGGTCTCTTTTCCCTTTAGAGAACGAAAAAAACCTTAGTGTCCCCTCTACAGGTGAAAATGCCACTTCTCACCAGATCAGGTAGTAGTGTGCCTGAGTGATAGAGCCCCACCTGCCAGCTGTGAGAACCTCTCCTTGTTTGTGCGTTTCTGCTGTGTGGCTTTGGGAAATGCTGGATACATGCTTATCAACAGGCCTGTGGCTGGCCATGGTGGTTCCAGGAGCAGGGACCACAGAGCTCAGAGGCATGGGTGATGCTGACCGTGGTGCCTGCATGGGCCCTGGCAGAGCCACTCAGGACTGAGATTAACTAAGAGTCAACCCTTCCTTTCACATGAGGCCTAAGACTCAAGCAGGGGGCTGGGGCAAGCAAATGATGAGTTGAAGCAAAGACCAGTGCCCAGATTTTGCCCCAGGCTACTGTGCACAGAGGTGCTTTGGAGGAGGTCCTGGTCTTAGGTTTAAAGTCTAGCACTTTGCTCTGGGTCTTTCCTTTTTCAAGAGCTGGGGAGTGGGAAAAACGGGCTCAAGTGTGAGCACAAATGGGTCCCTTACTGAGGGGATGCAGTTAGAGCAGGTAGCTTTGAGTATCAATAAATCTGTATTTCCTTCTTTATAGGGCTGACAAGCCGACCCCACTGATCAACAAAGGCCAACCAAGAGGACCTGGTAATTATTTAACTTGAATCTGGGGTTGATTCTGCTGAGTCCACGGAGGACATTTCTAGGCAGGTGTCAGCGCTGTGCAGGGCCTGGCTGTGGTCCATCTTCAGTTTTCTCACCCTCCTCCCAGCAGCTTTAGTAAGGCTCAGGCTCCTTGTCTTGCCTTTCACATTCTGTGAAGGTAGAAGGTTCTCTGGCTTGAATGGAAACTTTTCCCTGCATACACCAGAACTTCCGGAGAAACCTGTTGCTGGGCTCTTAAATCATTTTGTACGATTGGTAGGGGGTCTTATAAAGTTGCTTCATTTTGGCCCTAACACTGGCTCTCTCTGGAACAGAAGCTACAGGTCTGCTGTCCAATGCCATGGCCTTGCAACCCCCAGCACCCATGCCTCGGAAGTCACAGGCGGTAAGTGGACAAGTCTGCTTTCCTGCCCCATGCTCTGCTAGTTAAGAGGGCTCTGATGCAATTGGGCTTTCTGTTTCTCCTGGGCCAGAAGAACGAAGGTTTCTTTCTGGTGCTGGTTGTGTGATCTAGGGAGGTGGTTAACTTGACCCTTTGACCATAGCTGTAGTACAGGCTCCATAAGCACCAGGCCCCAGCTGTTTCATTTCCTACCTCTGCCCAGGCTCCTGCTCACCTGGACTGCTGCATTGAGATGCCCCACCTTCCTTGATCTCTGTGGGTTTTTCAGCTCATGGTACTAGTGGAAAGCCTGTTCTCTGCCTAAAGGCTTGGCTTCCTGCCATGCTAGACTTCACCCCTTCTCTCTTTTCTGATGCAGACCAAGTCCAAGCCCAAGCGGGTGAAAGCGCTCTACAATTGTGTGGCCGACAACCCAGATGAGCTGACATTCTCTGAGGGGGATGTGATCATTGTGGATGGGGAGGAAGACCAGGAGTGGTGGGTGAGTTGGGTGGGGCCTGCGAGGCCTATACCTAAGGGAGGCTATCAGCCCGAGCAGTCTGGTTTTGGTGTTGCCATCAGGCCTTAGACTAGTAGCCACTCTGTCTTCAGCACCCTCTGGTGTCTCCTGTATGGGCACCCTTCTCTGAGTGGGTCTGATCTGTCCCTGAGGTGAATGCCTCCATGTCCAAGGGGCAGGCCACTCAGGCTGGGTTTCCAGAGTATACTTGAGGGCCTGAAGTGAGAGCCCTGTACTCCCCCAGGTGTCTGCATGGAGCCCCTCCTTTGTGGATGAATGGAGCAAGGGATCCAGAAATAGCTAGCCTGCAGGGCAGAACCCCCATGTCACTTTGACCCTGACACAAGTTGTGAGACGCCTAGCATCCAGTTAGCACAGGAGCAAGAGGGGCACAGGTCTTCTCCCAGGGATCCTAGTAGTTCACACACACAGCCACTTACAGGCTGAGGGCCTTGGTTCTTAGATCTGTACACTTGGATGACGTCATCTATGAAAGGGAGTTGCCCACAGCACTGTGAAAGCACCAGCAATGAGACAAGGATGGTCAGATGGGTGTATGGGGTGTAGCAATAAACCCCTGGAATGGTGTGCATATAGAAAGCACTCTATAGCGACTGCCACCCAGTGGACACTCATGGCACTGCTCCCTAGACAAAAGCTTAGGCACCAAGGATTTCAACTGGTATATCTTGGGCTCAAGGGGTTTGACTTGATCTGTAGCTGTCCTTCCTACAAAGCCTCCTTCTGTGTTCTAACCCCCAAGTTCTCTGCCTCAGGTGTCTCTGGGACTCAGCTTTGCAGAACTGCTGGTGGTATTCATGTCTTTCTTGTGTTGATCAACTGTGAGTGAAGATGCCCTTTCCCAGCAGTCTCCCTCAACACAGCCCAGTAGGGGCCACAATGCTGACTTCTGCTGAGCTCTTTCACTCTCTGCTGATTGATAGCACCTGCTGCATGACTGGGTCTGTTGAGAATCCAGTGCTGGGCTCTAAGAACCTGACTTTGCCCTTCCCCCACTAACATACTCACCAAGACCCACCAAGGAAGCAGGTCTAGTCTGATCTTACACTTGCCTGCATCCTGCCCCATGGATGGGACTCCAGCCTGACACAGGCTTAGCCATGTGGAAAGTACCTATTTCCAAAAGCATGGAAAATCCAGACAGGTGTAAAAGAATCTTAATGTTAGCCTGATCACAGAGCCTGCCCTCTTTCCAAGAACCCATCACTTGTAGTTTGGCAATTTCCATTTGCTTATGTCATTGACAGGGCTGAGATTATACTTGAGTATATAATTTATGCAGAATGAAAATAGATTTTGTATTTGTGTTGTTTTGTGTTTTGAGACAGGGTCTCACTATGTATCCCTGGCTAGCTTGGAACTCTCTACGTAAACCAGGCTGGCCATGAACTCAGAGATTCCTCCTGCCTCTGCCTCCTGAGTTCTGGGATTAAAGGCCACACCTGGCTGAAAAGAAGACTTTTTAAAAAAAAAAAAAAAAAAAAACCTGCCACAAATGCCTGATATTTCAATAAAGCCAAGTCACACACTTTTGCCATTTCCTATGGCTTTGTAACTCACAAATTTCTCTTCTCTCTCTCTCTCTCTCTCTCTCGTTTTCTTTGAGCAGGGTCTCCCTGTAGCCCCAGCTAGCCTGGAACTTGCTGTGTGTAGACCAGGCTGGCCTCAAACACAGAGATCCGCCTGCCTCTGGGACTAAAGGCGTGCGCCACTGCACCCGGCTTCGATTTCTTTGTTCATATGGGGAGTGGTGACTAGATGTCTACCCTGGTGGGGAGTGCTGACTAGATGTCTACCCTAGTGGGGAGTGGTGACTAGATGGCTACCCTGGTACCTCCCAGAATGCTGGGGCCCAGGGCAGCATCTCACATGAAAACATCTGAGAGGTATGTGAGGGCTCCCTGTGGAGGAAGGCGGGTACTCTAGCAAGTATGGCAAGAGGAAGAAACGAAGAATGAAGTAGTTGCTTTCCTGCCATTCTTTGACAGAAGGATCCCTCTGAACACAAATGCTATCATGCTTCCAGAGTTTTCAAGTTTGCAATTTTTATAACCTAAACTTGTTCATTTCAGATTGGCCACATTGATGGAGATCCCAGCCGCAAAGGAGCATTTCCTGTATCGTTCGTGCACTTTATTGCTGACTAAATCGCTACTGAACAAAAGCCTTTCTTTAACTGTTATGTTCCTGTTTTGTTATTGGTACCAAAACTCTTGCCAGATAGCCACATTGTGTCGTACGGCAGCCTTTCCTCCCTCATACCACTGTTCTGTTTTAAAAACTCAAAAGACAGTTTTTATATATAAGCAAATTGTTTTTATAATTTGTGGTTATCATGAAACGTTGCTATACTTTATTAGGAAAAGCCAAATTTCCTAAAAGGTGAACTGAAAAGTTATTTTAACCATATAACCAAGATCTTGCATCTCCAGAAGTAGCTAACCCTAAAATGCTTAAATGAATTTTGGGAATTCTTCCTTTTGACCCAATTCTACTATTAGTTACCTTTAGTACAGTTGTCACTTTAACAGGCCAGTAAAATGTTGCTTCTGGAGTCTGTAGCCCGACTCCAGACTTCGTCCACAGAATGCCATCCATTTACCTTTAAAGATGTATTCATTTAAAACTCAGCCAATGTCTGGGAATTTTACATTAGCCTTGTACTTTCTGGCCCTAGCCTGTGAGGTGACAGCTGTCATGGTCTCCTGCATGTATGACCCATTGTTGTGAACAGTGACACCCAGCAAACTCCTGACAGGTTATTATAACATAGCTAACATCAGTCCATTCCACTCCAGGTTTTTAAAAATGCAGTTCCTGAATTTGGTTAAAAACTAAGGATGATGGATTGCAAAACAGTTCTTTAAACTAGCTTGTATGCTTTATGTGTTTTAGAATTTGCCTCCTTCAACTTCCCTGGTCACAACAAAAGCAACTGTACACAAGTAGAATACTGTGGCACAGACCACAACACAGTAATCCATGTCTCACCACTTCCTGTCACAGGCACCACTGCCCTTCCCTCCCAGTTCCCCAGGATGTCCACTCAGCCTAGTGTCTTGTATTTAATAGGATACGCCAACAGGAATGGTAGCTATGCTGTCTTGAAATGTAATCTGTCCATCTGCTTGTATTCAAGAAATCTGTAGGTCCCGGGGAGCACAATACTCCCATACATCCCAGTTTTACTATTTAAAGCCATCATTTCACTCTTAAACTTACAATATGCGGGGAGGGGGATGGGAATTAGGCTGTGTATGATAAAATCAAAACTCATTAGTTTAATGAACTTAACTGTCATACCTCTATTTAATAATTGTGAGCATAAGATTCATAGTAGGAATATTGGAAATTCTGGCACTGTTTTGGAGTCAATAGGCAAGCATATGGTGCCCACTTGGATTTTGAACAAAAGGAATAGATTGACGTGCAGGCTTGGAAAATAGGGCAACGAAGGCTCACGATGGTACACTTGACGGAAGCAGCTTGTCTTTTAATTTCTGATGCAAGGCTTTCATAAGCATGGAGCTTTTTCTTTTTTCTTTTTCTTAAGGAATACAGGACAAACTGGAAATGTCTTATGATGTTGTATATTAATTGCTTTCTGCCTTACAACGATCCGTGTAAAAATATTTTAGATCTGTAATTAAAGTCTTTTGTTTTTAAGCACTACATCTATTTTCACTACTTGTTAATTTCTGTTGTTTGAACCCTTCAGTCACTTTCTCATAGATTTAAGAGTGTGAACAGATGCATTTTGCACAGTGCACTTCTCAGTGTCTGCTCTAACGGCCCCATGTCTGTACCTTCTCATCGGTCGATGAACTGGTACCAGCTCTCTGAGGAATCAGGTTTATGTCAACAAACTCCAGTCCCAATTTCTATCAATCTATCAGGTTCACAGGTACATAAATACCTAGGAAATATTTTTCCACTCTCTAATTTGGTGGTGCTATTGTGTAGTAATTAATATTTTACCAGAGGAGAAATTCTATTAACTTCCCTGCTAATTATCCTTTCTTAGTTATTTGCTGTTTGCAAATTGAAAAAAAATTAACTGAATGGAAAACATTGTAGATATCTATTTATATTTGAAGTTTACATTTCATGAACTTCAGCTGCAGAATTTGGGCATTTTCTTTGCCACTTTCCATCAGGTCTGACTTGGAGGAAGGGCGGCTCAGAAATAAGGTGTGCAGACTAGTATGATCTGTTGAGGGTGGAGAACAATCTGTCTGCATCCTGGAATGCTATTTTGAGATGTAAGATACTCGATTCATTCACTTACTTTGGTCTAGTTGCAGCGCAACTGTACATATTGTATAACCTAAACTGATCTTATTTTCATTGTCCCTACTGCAGTGATTTATAAATTAGAGCATGTTTAAAAAAATCTACTTCCTGTTAACCAGTCATTTGACTGGAAAAAAAATAAAAGTACTTTTAAACAGACATGGTTTTCTTTTTAATGTTTTTAATCTTCATAAAGTGTTTGATATTGACACTCCTTAAAGAGGATACAGTCCATGAGCTCCATTAAAATCTACTTTCAGGCTGGTGGGATGGCTCAGTGGGTAAAGGTGCTTGCTAACAAGCCTGATGACCAGATTTTGGTCCCTAGAGCATGACAGATGGAAAGAGAGAACTGACTCCCGTAAGTTGTCCTCTGACCTTCACATGCACCATGGTGCATGCATGCCTACACACAAAGAAATGTAATTTAATTTTTTTTTTTTTTTTTGGTCTTTTTGAGACAGGGTCTCCCTGTAGCCCCAGCTGTCCTGGAACTCACTATGTAGACCAGGCTGGCCTTGAACTCAGAGATCTGCCTGCCCCTGCCTCCTGAGTGCTGGGATTAAAGGTATGTACCACGACCTGAATAAATGTAATGTTTTTGTGTTTTTGTTTTTGTCTTTTTGAGACAGGGTCTCCTTGTTGCCCCAGCTGTCCTGGAACTATGTAGACCAAGCTGGCTTCGAACTGCCTCTGCCTCCCAAGTGCTGGGATTAAAGGTGTGCGCCACCACACCGAGCATAAATGTAATTTTTTAAAATTTTATGTATATGAATGTATTTCCTGCATGTATGTAAGTGAACCCATGTCATGCAATGCCTGTGGAGGTCAGAAGAGGGTGTCAGATTCCCCTGGATCTGGAGTTAGGATGGTTGTTAGCTGCCATGAGGGTCCTGGGAATCGAACCTGGGTTCTCTGCAAGAGCAGCCAGTGCTCGTAACTGAGCCATCACTCTAGCCCCATAAATGTTAATTTTTTTTTTTTTTTTTTTTTTGGTCTTTTTGGAATGGGGTCTCCCTGTAGCCCCAGCTGGCCTTGAACTCACAGAGATCTACCTGCTGAGATTAAAGGTATATGCCACCATACCCAGCACTGTCTGTTTTTTTTAAGAAGCTGCTCTTCACATGAGCAGCTATCCTCTAAGGTACTCTGAGGTTAATATGAGTTTGCTAGGTGTTGTCTTAATGAACAATGTCTTATTTCACACATACCTTTACCTGTTGAGCTGCCTTGTCTGCCCAAGGTATTTTTGATTTTAAGTTACACTATACCAAACCAGTGTGAAGTCAGGATCTGAAGTCCAAACCTCTGCCTGCCTCAAGTTTCAAGCAAGTGATCATGAGTCATTGGAAGGCCATATGGGACAGGTCTCATTCACAGTAAACAGCTCTATGTATTCCTTTTTAAAAAAAATAATTTATTTATTTATGTGTATGAGCATTTTTGCCTGCATATATGTAAGTGTGCCACATGCATGAAAAACTATGAAGGCCAGTAGCAGGCATCAGATTCCCTGGAGCTGGAGTTAGGAACAGTTGTTAGCCGCTGGGTGTGGTGGGAACTGAACCCAGGTCCTCTGCAAGAGCAGCCAGTGCTCTTAACCGTTGAGCCATCTCTCCAGCCCTTATACACTCTTTCGTATTAAGCTTGTTTGCATTTTAAAAATGACAACCAAGGTGTCTTATCCTAGAAAATAGATAATTCACTGAAAATCAACCTACTGCCAGACATGGTAGCGCATACCTTTAATCCCAGCACTTGGGGCAGGGGCAGGGGAATGAATCTGTTTTGTGAGATGGAAGCCAGTCTGGTCTACATAGAGGTTCCAGGCCAGCTATGCCTATAAAGAAACCCTGTCTCAAAAAAAGTTAATCTACTGTTAAGATGACACATTGAGGGGCTGGAGAGATGGCTCAGCAGTTAAGAATACTGGTTATTCTTGCAGAAGACCCGGGTTTGAATCCCAGCACCCACATGGCAGCTAACTTGTCTGTAACTCCAGTCCCAGGGGATCCAGTAGCCTCTTCTGACTGTGGGCATTGCACAACACGGGTGCGCTTACCTACATGCAGGCAATACACACATACACATAAAATTTAAAAAAGGACACATTAGCACATTTTAATATAAAAACAACATTTATATATTGCCCTTCAGAAAGCTGGATCAAGGCATTACTTCCTATTTCCTTCATAGTTCAATGCTGCAGAATGATCTAGAAAACAGACTCTGGAATTGGTTTGCTTCCACTTGATTGCAGAGTTCAAGACTTCTCAGAGGTCAACACAGAGTCAAAAACGGTGGCTAAGACTTTACAGATAGCTTGGGCCTGTTCCTGCATTGTGAGAAGACAGTGAGAGCAGAGTTTTTACATCTCCCATATTTTCCTGATCTCATGTTGCTTCCTCCACATACCAGCACCTGCTAAGCCAGTAAGCTCCCTTGAGATGGGCAAACAGTAAAAGGGCCAATCCAGGAAAGAGGACAACCCAAAAGTGGAAAGAATCTCTGACCCAGCCCAGGTGAGAGCCACCCAATAGGAATAGTTCCCAGCCTCTCTGACTGCTGATCTAGGGCCTTCTGGGACTAGTCATTCTAAGGACAGACAGCATTAGGAACATTTCCTGGGTCTTTGAAAGGTGGGAGTCACAGCCAAGATAACGAGATCTCACCAGGCTGTTGCACTGATAAACCCACAGGCTGTATTCTTCATTGTTTGCATCTGTGGTCTTGACAGCCAGCAAGCTCTTTCCAGCTCCCAGGCCGTCGTCATAACACACCATCCGGATAATTAAATACAGGGCATGCCTATGCAAAACATCCTGCAGAAATCACAACACCTTCAGAAAGCTGTTTTCATTGTCAGGACACACATTTTCCTATACAGAATGCATTGTGAGGGTCTAAACAGCAGATCCATGGGTCTGGGAGAAAGCAGTACAGTTTCTCAGCTCAAGGGACACTGGAATGTCAAATTATGAGGCAACTTCCTTTCAGGATCACAGCTTCCTGTTTAAACCCCAGGAAAATAGGAACAGGATGGTCTAAACTGTGCTCACTGCTACCTGACTTCCAGGGCACCAGCTGCTTTTAAATGACCTGAGGTCCCAAAGTGAAATGTACCAGGAACCTATATGTACATAGGACATACAAAAGAAGGCCCTGTTCATTCTAAGGACTGGGCCATGCTTAAAACCAGTGGCCAGCCAGCTACTCTGGAAACAGGAAACCTAACTCCAAGTGAGCACTTAAAAGCTAGGTGGGATTCCTTATTTTCTAAAGCATACATCATGAGTGCTATTACTTACATACTGATCTGATGTCGATACTTTTATGCCATACTTGGACACTCCCATAATAAATTCTTCCTCCAGAGGAACAAAAGGCAATTTTCCATCTTGCTTTAAAGTAAAAATTATGTGATATACATTAAAGATTATATACATTAAATTTATATGATCATCTTAAGTTTGATTAGTTGCTTCTAGTATCTGGTTGTCAGAGTCTACAACCCTTTAGAGAATGTGGGGTACACATGAGCCCAGCCTCCAAAATGAAGAAATATTTTCCTCTAAATTTAGATCAATCTACTTCTGTGTATTGTCCTGTCCTTTTGTCTTGGTGGAAACCGTAATTCAAAACTGAGATACCTGCCACAGATCCTGATGGAATAAAGGTCTTCACAGGGGGAATAAAGGTCTTCATTTAGATTTTAAAATACTCAAAGCTTTTACTAGTGTCAGGACCCAGGGTGATCAGGAAGCTAGGTTGCAGGAACAGTTTTTCTTCATGGTCATTTTCCATCCTACCCAGATACACCTACAAACTGCTGATGCGTTAACTCAGCTCACAGAAATGTCAGTATTATGAGCAGTTCAGAAACGAAATGGTGAGCAACACATAACACGTTTTTCCCTAGCAGATTAGCTAGTCTCATCTACATCAGAATGCTGCCTAATTTGTCTTCTCGTAAGACAGACATTACTAAGTGGTCAACAGGTATTCCATATTATCAGTGTGGAACAATGAATTACAGTGAGTAAGCCATATCCAAATGCTTCAGTTCTTGGCCTTCCCAGTGTTATAGGAACCTCCTGCCAATCACGTCTCACAGGTTGAAGGCAATTACAAGAATCACCACCACGCCTAGCAAGTAATGGCATTTTAATGAGCAAAAATTCACTGGTGGTGAGAGTAATTTAGTCATCCTTACAGGAACGAAGATAGCACTAATATAATTCTGAACATCTCTCTACGTAACAGTATTTGTCACTTATACTTCATTTGAAAGACTATAAAACGCAAAGATAACAGGCATTGTCAACAAATGGCAAAGTAGATCCACTAATTTCCCTCAGTAATAATAACTTTACTTTCATAAAAATATTTAGTACTCCAAGTCTCCATGACTTAAGATTGTACCTTCTTTTTTTGGTCTTTCTGAGACCAGGTCTCCCTGTAGCCCCAGCTGTCTTGGAATTCACTATGTAGACCAGGCTAGCCTTGAATTCACAGAGATCCACCTACCTCTGCCTCCCGAGTACACCACTATGCCCAGCACTTGAGATTATATCTTCTTAAGAAGTACCATGAAGTCTTTTGGTTCACTGACTTCTACCTTAGGTAAATGTATAGTTCTTGAAATTCTATTTTCTGCACTATACAGCTTTATCTTAATTCTCATTCTTAATTTTCCTACATGATGCTTTAAAAAAATATTCCTGACCTGGGTACATTTTTGAAACCCCCCTCACCTCAAATCTTGTTGGAAATGGGGTATAACTAGATATCTTAGGTCTACATCACTATGAAATTTTAAATCAGTGAAACTAGATCAGTGGTAAAGTTTTGACAGGTTGTTTTAGGGGGAAAAAAAAACTACAGAATGTAAGCAGTCAACAGAATCAGTTCCTCAGTTAACCAAGGACACCAGTCAGCCCCATAAAGTAAAAAGTCCTATACCTTCTTCCCATGTGGCTCCTCCTGGGTACCTTGTGTGCTCTATGGTGCCAGAGCAATTTCAGGAAGAAATATAGGCTTCAGCAAAGATGGTTAGGAGAGTGCCCTCCAGTGGACCCAAGAGTAACATCTTTCTTCAAGGCCATGTGTTTAGCATAACAACCAGAGGCTTTAAACTGAAATTTTCTTTTTTTCATTTACCTGGGCAACATCTATATAATTTATCAGGTCTAGTGGTCCTTCAAGACTTTTTCCCTCAGACAGCTTCAGTTTCTCAATGGCACCAACATACTTTATTCGAAATTCTGCACAGGTATCTAAATTATTGTTGCTTTGTCCTAAAGGTGAAAAGAAAAATTATAATAGACTTAAAATGTCTGTTTTATAAGATATTTTCAGTCCCTTCTCAAATAAAACAAAACCCTGTCACTAAAATATAATCTTAACAAGTTTTTGTTTTGTTTTTGAGAAAAGGTTTCACTATGCTGCCCTGGCTTATCCTGGAACTTGCTATGTAGATAGGGCTGGCTTCAAAGTCATAGAGATCTGCCTGCTTTTGCCTCCTGAGTGCTGGGAGGCATGTGCCCCACCATAACAGAATTTTTAGTTACAAGGTGTAAAATTAATTTTTTTAAAGTTTTTATGAGACAGGGTCTCCCTGTAGCCCCAGTTGACCTGGAACTCTGAATGGAGACCAGGATAGCCCTATCTGACAAGAGATCATCAGCTTGCCTCTGCCTTTGTCAGGATTAAAGGTGTGTACCACCATGCCTGGCTTTAAATGCAAAATTTCTTCAAGTAATGGAAAAGGATTTAAAATTTCATTAACCTTTTCCTTCAGTGACTCACAGTGTACCAAATGTATAAAGGTCACCAAGTAGCAAGAATAAATACTGATAACCTTCATTTCAAAACAATTTTTTTTTTGTCTCTTTGAGACAGGGTCTCCCTGTAGTCTCAGCTGACCTGAACTCACTATGTAGACCAGGCTGGCCTTGAATTCACAAAGATCCACTTCCCTCTGCCTCCCAAGTGCTAGGACTAAAGGTGTGCACCACCACACCCGGCCCAAAACAACAATTTTTTTTAATGTTTTATTATTTTTTAAATTTTATGTTTATGTGTGTATTGCTTGCGTGTAGGTAAGTGTACCCATGTCATGCAATGCCTGCGGAAGACAGAAGAGGCTGTCGGATCCCCTGGAACTGGAGTTACAGACAGTTGTTAGCTGCCATGTGGGTGCTGGGATTCAAACCCGGGTCTTCTGCAAGAACAACCAGTGTTCTTAACTGCTGAGCCATCTCTCCAGCCTCTCAACAATTTTTAAAACATTAACTAGATAATGATTGGTCTCTTCATAATGCATAATTATATTTCTTATTTTGGAAGGTATTCCCTGATTCAGGACGTTTGTTCCTCTATCATTCAGCCAGAAAGACCAACTTAAAAAATAAATATAGCCAGGGCTGGGCGTGGTGGCACAGACCTTTAGTCCCAGCACTTGGGAGGCAGAGGCAGGCAGATCTCTGTCTCTGTGAGTTCAAGGCCAGCCTGATACATAGTGAGTACCAGGCCAGCTGGTGCTACAGGGAGATCCTGTCTCCAAAGAAATAAATAAAAGAAATGTAGCCAGATAGAAGGTCCCTTAACAGATGACCACAGGTTAAAGAACTGTGTGCAATAAAATCTAACCAATACAGAGATAATCACAAACTACTGATGATACCTGCCATGCTAAGAAAACACAGTGCAGTTACTTTCAGGCTGTGTTTATATACGAGAATGATGCCAACATTTTAGTATTTTAAAGAATTCTGGAGGTAAAGATAGTGGATTTTGCTGGGCATGGTGGCGCATGCTTTTAATCCCAGCACTTGGGAGTTCCAGGTCAACCTGGTCTACATAGTGAGTTCCCAGCACTTGGGAGGCAGAGGCGGATCTCTGAGTTCGAGGTCAACCTAGTCTACTTAGTGAGTTCCAGGTCAGCTGGGGCTAAAGGAGACCCTGTCTCAAAAAAAAAAGTGGATTTTATGTGATAGCATTCTCTTTGGATTGACTAGTCTATGATTATGATCCTACTTTAGATTTTTAAAGTATATGTAGGGGCTGGAGAGATGGCTCAGCGGTTAAGAGCACTGGCTGCTCTTCCAGGGGCACTGCACAACATGGGTGCACTTACATAAAGGCAAAACACTCATACACATAAAAATAAATTTTAAAAATGAATGTAGTATATTTCTAATTACTCAATAAGTATTTATGGAGCTTGGGCTAGGAGTCACCTTTGGATTTCTAAAGAGCCACAAATTAAAAGTGATTGCATAACTGCATGGGTCTGTGCACAGGTCCAGGTTTCCTGTCTTCCTGCTGGTCATCTATGCAAGTATATCTAAAAGTAGCCCTCAAGGTAAATTGCTTCTTAACCCTTTTATCACTAACACATTTGTCCTGTTCCTATAAACATTAAGTCCAACATAATTCAGTCTCTGGTACCTTCTTTATTTTTTCTTTCCTTTTTTTTTTTTTTTTTTTTTTCGGTCTTTTTGAGACAGGATCTCCCTGTAGCACCAGCTGGCTGGCCTGAACTCACAGAGATCTGCTGGCCTCTGCCTCCCGAGTGCTGAGTCTAAAGGCATGGGCCATCACACCCAGCTTCTGCTACCCTATTTCTTAAAAACCTATTTTGAAACTGCTAAGTTATCGCCACAGGATGCTTTCAAATGCTTGGATCCACTAAGAACTGTTCCGAAGTGCCCTATGGCACTCTCCAACCACACTGCACCTTCAACTCATGTTTCACCATGACATTTTAGTCCATTTCTGAACTGATCAGAAGTGGCAGAGGAGAAAGCAAAAGGAAGCACAGGAGACCTTGCTATGCCACACAAACCAGGAGTGCAAAGCATTAGTCTCTAAGTGACCCAGCCCTTCCACATACCTGAGCTTTTGGTGGAGTCTGTGTCAAGGCTGGCAACAGTGCTGGATCGCGAAAGACCCCCAAGGCTAGAGTCCACAGACTGAGAAAAAACATAGTAAGATTCATCTTCTCTGATGTAAACATGTGAATTACATATTAAGTTGAACTGACACACAAAATCTGGCCAATTATTTAGGCAGATTGATTGTAACAGATTGTTTTAAAGACATTTTCTACAGCAGACTTTAAATACCATGTAACACGGGTCTAGAGAAATGGTTTAGCAGTTTGGTGCCCAGCACCCACATGGTGGCTTACAGCCACATGTAACTTCAGTTCCAGAAGATCCCATGCCCTCTTCTGGCCTTCGCAGGCATTGCATGACATGGGTGCATTTACATACATGCAGGCAAAACACTCATATACATAAAATAAATTTAAAAGCATTTTTTTTTTGAACCAGGGTCTCCCTGTAGCCCCAGCTGGCCTGGGAATCACTATGTAGGCCAGGCTTGCCTTGAACTTACAGAGATCCACATGCCTCTGCCTCCTGAGTGCTGGGATTAAAGGCGTGTGCCACCATATTTTAAAACCACTTAACACATACCCTTGCAACCATGAAATACTGGATACATGTAACAACATCTTCAGTCTAAGGCTAAGCCATTAACTCTATTTTCTTACACTTGCCTTATACTTGAGAGTCTTTGGGAAAAGCTCCCCATTGCTTTTCTGTTATTTCCATGGTACCTCAAAAGAACCCTGGGCAGAAAAGCAGCCAAGAAGCAATGTCCTTAATCTGATAAATAAGGAAAGACCAGGCCACCTCAAGTTTCAGGGTCTCAAATCCAAGTCTTCTAAATCCTGATCCAGCCCTCCTGCAATTATTCCCATAGTAACTGGTCACAACAAGAGCAGGCTTACCAGCAGACAACATGACTATTAATGTAAACAGACCAAAAAAACTGGTAGGCCCAAATTTTTAAAAATCATATAATTTGTTACACAGAACTTTATCTTCAATGTCCTTAATTTCCTTAGAAATAACATTCTGTGAAAACTCCAAGATTCATAAGGTTTGTTTTGTATAAATCCATGAGTACTTTCTGATAACATTCAAAAACTCTCTGGTAAATGGGGCCTAACCAATCTCTCTATGAAGGAACTGTTGTTATAACCACAGCAACTTAGAATCTGAGAGATCAAGTTCAGTTCCCAGGACCCACACTGGCTTACAACTGCCTGTAACTCCAGCTCCAGGGGATCCAATGCCACCTTCTGGTCTCCACTGGCAGTTGCGTTCACATTCATATACCCACTCCACACACACACATACACACATAATTGAAAATAAATTTTAAATAAAAAATATTTCAAGCCAAGCATGTTGGCTCATGCCTATAATTCCAGCACTTGAGATGTGAGAATTGAACTTCTGGGTCATCCTCTGCTACACAGAGTTAGAGGTCAGCCTGAGCTATGAGATCCTGTCTACCTGACAACTTAATTTTGATCCCTGAAATCCACATGGTTCTCCCAGGACAGAACCAATTCCCGCCAGTTGTTCTGTGACCTCCACATCTGCCCAAATACATAAAATAAATGTAAAAATGTTTTAATGTTAAATCAATGTGTTCTGATGTGACCATTCATAACTTGTGTCCTAGCTAGTTCACTAGATTTAAGAATTTAGGAAATTATCCAAACAATAAAATTAAAGCAAACACAGAATGAATCTCTGGTGCAGAAAAGCAGCGTAAACACTCCAGGACCTGAGAGTACACTTCGTGCAGTGCCTGCCTCAGTGCTCCACAGTCTGTTCTGAACCCCATTCTCTTACCTTGCTCTTTGTACTGATTTCACTGCTTTGGGAACTGCTACTACTGTGTCGTTTCTTGCCTTTTCGAAACATTTTTCTGCATAGCTTGATCTGAAGGTGACGCCCTGGAGGAACAAATGTTAGTTTCAGTGCTACCAAGAAAAGCAACCTCCAATCTCATTAGGGACAGCAGGGAAAAAAAAAAAAAGACAAAAACCCACCAGCTCCTTCCAGTACTGTGCGTTATACATTATTCTTTTCTTTTTTATTAAAAAATTTTTGAGACAGAATCTTACAAGCCAGGCTGGTCTTGAACTCAATATATAAGCCAGGAAGACCTTGAACTCCTAATCTCCTGTTTCCACCTCTAGAGAGCTGAGATGTCAGGCATATACTACCATACCCTCTTCCCCACCCCTTGAGACAGAATCTTGCTGTGTGGCCCAGCCTAGCCTTAATCTCATGCTTCTCTTGCCAGATCTTTCCTAGTGCTAGGATGGCAGGCATGCACCACTGTGCCTGGTGATATGTATGTTTTTCTTGTAGTGAAATGCCTTTAAGTAAAATCTAACATAAAAGCCAGCTCCTCACCTCCCTGTTCCAGTAAGACCAGGCAAGGGGCTTAAGGAAGGTGGGGTACAGTCTGCAGTTTCTAAATGAGGGAATCTTGACCTAACTTTCAAGCCAGAATTTAAGAATAATATATTTTTACAAAAAACTGATTTCTACAGAGGGAATATCATGGTTACAATAAAACCAAACACTTTTTAAATATTTTGTTATTTTTATTTTATGTGTATTCATGTATTGCCTGCATGTAGGTAAGTGCACCTGTGTCGTGCAATGCCCACGGAGGACAGAAGAGGCTGTAGGATCTTCTGGAACTGGAGTTATGGACAGCTGTTAGCTGCCATGTGGGTACAGGGGCTCAAACCCAGGTCTTCTCAAAGAACAGCCACTGTTCTTAACCACTGAGCCATCTCTCCAGACCCTTTAAGATTTTTAAAAATTATTTTTATGTATATGAATGTTGTTGGCATGTGTGTAAGTGCACCCATGTTGTGCAATGCTTGCAGAGGTCAAAAGAAGGTACTGGATTCCCCTGGAACTAGAGTTATGGATGGTTGTGGGCCACTATGTGGGTGCTGGGAACCAAATCCCAGTCCTCTGCAAGAACAGCCAGTGCTCTTAACTTCTGAGCCATCTCTCAGCACAGCTCCCCCACCCTTTTGAGACATGGTCTCACTATGTATCCCTGGGTGCCCTGGAACTTGTTATGTAGACCACGCTGAACTTGAACTCAGGGTTCCACCAGCTTCTGCCTTCTGGGTGTTGGATTAGAGACCTGCACCACCACTGGCTAGAACCACTTTTATTGTTCTCCAAGGTTCCATACAGAACAGCCTGCACAGCAGCTGACATGCTTAGTCCTTTCCAGAGGAACAGTGGACCTAGTAAAGGACCTAATGAAGGTTCTAGTGAAGTGAACAACAGCAGCAACCCACAGTTACATAGGGATAGTGGATAAAAGTCCTGAACAAACTAAGCCTCCGTTTGTATTTGTAGAACCCACTATTGGTCCAGTTTCTAGGCCACTTGCCATGCCAGCCTGAGCTCAAGCTTTTTGGTAAGCCTGGCCACCCAGTTTCCTTCTCAATGTTTGCTTTATTTGTAGGGCAGCAAAAGGATCTGACTCATTCACTTGGTCCTGAGTAGTCAGCAAACACTTAGGTACTGGGGATTCATCAGCACAAAAACAAAGCTCTTAATCTGAGGGGGTTGGCTTTTAGTAGGAGTGGATGGAGCAACAAGAAAAACACAAAGCATTACTGGACAAGAATCATTCCTATGAGGAAAACTAAAGGAAGAGAGAAAAAATGATCAGAGGACACTCCCAGGCCTAGCTTGGGTTGTGCACCTTGCACACCTACCCAACCTGGCGAGTTCCCCAGAACCTTGTGTCTCCCATACTCCCAGGCCTAGCTCAGGTTACACACCTTACATACTGGTGCAGTCTGCTAAGTGTCGCTCTTACTCCTCATCAAAGAACCTTCTTTTTGCAACAAATGGGAAATGATTACAGAGATCCACAACTATTCAAAATGCAGGGAACGAGTGACCATGGGGTGCCCAGCTCCAATTGACATATCTATAATGCAATCCCTACACCTAAGGCTCAGCGAACATCATAGTAGAGGGGCTGGAAAGATTGTTGTGAGCCATAGGACCAGGACACCTGCAGCTAGTCTTCTAGACATGACAGGGAAGCTGCACCCATGAAATCTCAATATGGTTGCCTGCACAAAATCTACATACTGACAACACAAGTTGATATGCTATCCTAGTTACTTTCCACTGCTGTGAAGAAACACTAACCAAAACTAACTTGGAGAGAAAAGGGTTTATTTCATCTCATACTTCCAAGGCAGAGTCTATCTTTGAGGAAGTCAGACAGGAAACTGGAGGCAAAAACTGAAGCACAGACCATGCAAGAATGCTGCTTACTGGCTTGCTTCCCCTGGCTTGCTCAGTTACTTTTCATTTTCTTTTTTTTAAATATTTTATTTTATTTATTATTCTTATTTTATGTGTATGAATGTTATGCCTGCATGTAAGTAAGTGCACCCGAGTCGTGCAATGCCCGCAGAGGGCAAAAGAGGCTGTTGGATCCCTTGGAACTGGAGTTATAGACAGTCGTTAGCTGTCATGTGGGTGCTGGGATTCAAACCCAGGTCTTCTGTAAGAACAGTCAATGTTCTTAACCACTGAGCCATCTCTCCAGCCCACTTTTCATTTTCTTTTTTAGATTATTTTTAAACATATGTTTAAGTGTGTGTAGTCTGTGTGCAGGTGCTATATGTGTCTGTAGAGTCCAGAAGACAGTGTGTGATCCCTTGGAGCTAGAGTTATAGGTGGTTGTGAGCACCTGACATGGGTGCTAGGAATTCTCTGGAAGGGAATTGTGTTCCTGGAAGAGCAGTACACCACTGAGCCATCTCTCAAGCCCTCAGTTACTTTTCTTATACAGTCCAGACCCATCTGCCTAGGGATGACACCACCCACAGTGGGCTGGACCCTACTGCATCAATTACCAATTAAGAAAATGCCTTACATAGTCACAAGCCAATCCAATGGAAGCAATTCCTCAACTGAAGGTCTCTCTCCCCGGTATTTCTGGTTTGTTAATTTGACAAAAACTAAGCAGCACATATGCCAATGCAGATGGGGGGGAAGCGTCACAAGGGCTGCAGGCAATCAAAGGCCACTGAGAGAGGGAGAAGCCATTTCTCCAAGAATGAGCTCCCTGATAGTTTATCTAATCCCAGTGGTCAGCCTTAAACACAAGTACATATTGATGGATAAAGTAGCCTATGGATGAATCCAGTTGATCAGGAGAAAGCACCAGAACATGGATAAAACTCCATCGGAATAGAGGAACACATGGGACAGATTCCCTTCCCGGCAGGGAAAATGTCTGCCCTGACCTAGGGCCTTTTTAAGGGGGAGGCTTCTGGGGAGTGCAGAAGGCAAGAAGTTTTTTTTTTTAAAGTTGAGGGGGGTGAAGCGGGATAGTGGGACTGTTAAAACCTGCCTTCTTTAGAGATCAAAGGGGAAGCCTGCTGTGTTGGCCAAACAGTGGAGAAAAGTCCATTCTCTTGACTTCAAAGACCAGGAGCTTGAGAAGTCCCTGAGACCCTGTTGGTGAGGGGGTGGGGCTATCTGAACCTTAACATATATGAGCAACACTAAATGGACTCAGTAGGGGTGTGTGTGTGTGTGTGTGTGTATACACGTTAACAATATTTAAAGATGAGGAGGTCATGAATTTGAGAGAGTAGGGGCACAGGAGTAGTTGGAGAGGGGAGAGGAAGGGTCGGAAATGATTTACAGTACTCATATATGAAATTCTACAAAAAATTAAAAATTAAAAAGTGATCAGAGAAAGAGGCAGAATTAAACATGCTGTGGAGAAACATGTTGCAAGTGTAGAGCAGCAAGCATAAGGTCTCCAGAAAACACACTGGCACAATAGCAGCAAGGCCAGAGTGGCTAGAGCAGGAGCAGAAGCAGAAAGAGTGACCAAAGGCCCTGCAGGCCACAAAGAAGTCTGGTCTGAGTGTAACAATCTATAGAGGCTTTTCAAAAGCAGTCAACGGACATGATCAGATTTTTGCTTTTTAAACTAACTGTATGAGATGAGAAAAAAAGAGGAAGAGGTTTTTTTGGCTTCTGTGCCTGCAGCAAAGGCTGCTTTTGTTGATGGAGAGATGGCAGAGATGGCTTTTGTTGATAAAGAGCCTTATTCCCTGGTCTGCACAAAACTGAGTTAACCTAGCAGTTCAAAGTACCATGTTAGTCTATGACAGTTAAAAGTGCTGGTATATAACATACTTAAGCACATTATATTCAAGTGCAGACTTTCCTCAGTAACTGCAGAGGATTGGTTTCATGACCAAGACAAAAATCTTCAGATGCTCACAGTATTTATATATAACCTATACACACCCTCCCATATACTTTTAAATATTTTATTATTTTTATTTTATGTGTATGAGTATGTTGCCTGAGTGTATGTGAATGCACCCGTGTTGTTCAGTGCCCATGGAGGTCAGAAGAGGGTGTCAGATCCCCTGTAACTGGCGTTACAGATGGTTGTTAGCCACCATGTGGTTGCTGGGAACTCAACTGGGGTTCTCTGCAAAAGCAGTCAGTGTTGAGCCATCTCTCCAGTCCCCAACTTTAAATCATTTCTAGATTACTTAGTATATCTAGGCAAGCATTCTCCACTAACCTAATCCTTGTTATATCTAATGTAAGTACTATGGAAATAGATGTTTTAATGCATTATTTAGAGAAAAATAGTAAGAAAAAAGTATCCACCTTTTCAGGATAATGGAATTTTGTTTTTATAACACACACACACACACAATCTGGGAGATGTGGAGAGCTGATATGTATAAATACAAATTATATATGTTAATTCTATAACAAGTTTACTTAAAAATAAGATCAGATTCTATTGTTAGTAGAATCCTGAAGCATATCCACAAATCCTCAAAAAAAAAAAAAAAGGTTTTGAAGCCTTTGCAACTCTTGAGTCTTGCTTTCTAGTGTCAATCAAGGAGCTTGGGGGAAATTTTTATTAGTCTTTGATAGCTACTGCCATTCTAGATTCTATTTGTTCTTAAGCAAATTATTCTTGCATCTAAATTATTCATGCGTAAAAATGACACTGAGGATTACTGTCAGTTGGATGTTGCAGAGGCTTATCACATGTAAAACTCCCCAGATCATCTTCCCTTCAGATCCACTCCTCCCTCTTTTCTCCCACTCAAGCAATTATACTATTGATGGTAGAAATCAGAAAATCAGTCCCTGTTTTCCTTCAGTCTCCACATCCAATTAAGCACCAAGATCTCAAATTGTTCTGGAGAGCTCTCTAACCCAGCTCTGTAAGGAGCCCTACATCCTTGCTAAAGGACTGGCCTGCATGGCTATTCTTTTTTAAAAATGTTTTATTCATGAGCCAGGTATGGTGGTATACACCTGGGAGGCAGAGGCAGGCAGATCTCTGAGTTCAGGGCCAGCCTGTTCTACATAGTTCCAGGTCAGCTGGGGCTACTGGGAGACCCTGTCTCAAAAAGACCAAAAACGAACAAAAAACATTTTATTTATTTTCATTTTATATGTATGAGTGTATTGCCTGCATGTATGTAAGTGCACCTGTGTTGCGCAATGCCCTCAGAGGCCAGAAGAGAGCACTGGATTCCCCTGGAACTGGATTTACTGATGGTTGTTAGCCACCATGTAGGTTCTGGGAATGGAACCTCTGATGGTCTGCAAGAGCAGTCAGTACTCTTAACCGCTGAGCCATTATTCCAGCCCTGCATAGCTATTCTTTTAGCATGAAGGTAGTGAATCCTCAGTGTACACAATTTGACATACACATACTTAAGGAACCCACAAAAGATACTTTGTGGATAAGGGTTTCTATACATTTTTTGCCTTTTTTTTTTTTTTTTCTTTTTTCTGAGACAGGGTCTCCCTATAGCTCCAGCTGACCTGTAACTTGCTATGTAGACCTGGCTGATCTTGATTGAGATCTATGGAGCAAGAGTTCCAGGTTAGTGTGGACAGGGAGACCCTGTCTCCAAATAAATGAATACTTATTTATGAGTGTGTGTGTGTGTGTGTGTGTGTGTGTGTGTGTGCGCGCACGCGCGCATGGGATCCCCCTGGAGCTACAAACACTTGTGAGCAGTTGGGCATGAGTGCTGGGAACTGAAGTCAGGTCTTCCACAAAGGCAACATACTCTTAACCGCTGAGCCATCTCTCCAGCCCACAGTAGATAGGGGCCTGTACAACAGGATTCCTTGCTGCTCTAAAACTGCCCCTACATTTCAGCTGAAATGATGACAACAATTGCTTTCAAACATACATCAGCGATCACTATTAACCTGCCTGACAGCTGTAGTAAGTTAAAGCCTTTCAGCAGGGCAGGCTCCTCCACTACCCACTCCTCTCAAGCTCATCTCCCACAACCCGCTACACACTTAGTTCATCTCTCAGGAATGCAAAGCTACCCTGGTTCTCAGCAGCACTAAGCTCCGTGTCCTCATGCTTTGCTCCAACTTTTCTTTGCATCCAATGCTCTTTATCTTTTGGCTACTTCTCACCTCTCAGGACTCATTTTAGGCCTCTTCTAAAAAAGCCTTTCTTAAACTTCCAGGTTGGACTAAATTGAGACCCTCAGCCTTGAGTGTACATCTGATCACAGTACTAAAATACGCTATGGTCTACTTAAAACTATCTCACTCCCTCAACTAGTCAAGGCGGGGCTGGGGGTATTAGCGCGAAGCACAGCTGTGGAGCGGTGGAGGACACCCATACAAGAACCTGAGAATTGCCTTGCGAGGTGACAGCCAAATAACTCCTAGTTTACTGAGTATCCAAGAGTGTCACACGTCACACTAAGTGCTAAGAAAACCGCTAGCCCTAACCTTGCCCAGCAGTTCCTCCCCAAGGAGCGCCCAGCTGAGTTCTCAGGAGGTGGTGGCCAAACCTCCAAGAGATCAGTGACTTGCCCATAGTCACGAGGCTAACTTTGGGACCCAGACAAGAGCGGGATTCCAAAGGTCTTTGCAGACTTGTGACTCGCATGCGTGAGTCACGGGTGCGAAGGATGCCACTGTAACAACCCTTATCCTAGAGCAGCAGGGACTGCAATCAGAGGGAGGCCTTCGGGGCGCTCAGCCTCCGGCGGTGGACCAGCCTCCATCCCCGCCCGTTCGCCAGGTTCCCGCGCTGGGCGTTACAGGAACGCAGGTCCCTCCGGGACTCCGCACCAGGGGATCCCTCCGGAATCCGGCCATTCAGCCCGTGCCTCCGCCTAGGACACTTGGGGGCAAGAGCAGGCTCCCGGGGACCCCACCCATCCGTCCCGGCCGCCAGCCCTGCGTTCCCGCCCGCGAGCCCGGCTCGGCTGGGGCGAGGCCCCCGTTCTCACCTCGCCGCCTCGGGATGGTCGCCGGAGCCGCCGGCGCCTCGCCCGCAGTGGGGGCGTCCAGCTACCAACGGCCGGGCAGCTACTCCACTTCTAAGTCCAGAGCCAGCTTTTCCAGCTCGCCTGCCTTCGCCCGCTTGGCCACGCCCTAGCTAGGCGCAGGCGCAGTCCTTAGGACTCGCTCCCCTCCAGCTCTAGGGGCCCCGTTCTGTGACCGGAAGTTGAAGGGAGGAGCCTAGCGCCGTGAGCAGCGGCGTGTCGGAAGTTCTGTCTTTGTGGATGAGGCTTTTCCGTCATTCGTTCCCTGTGGCTGTGCGTTCAATTTAGGAAGACGGCGGGAACTCTTCCTCATCCACGCGCCTCCCTAGACTGCCGGGATGTCTGCGATTCCTGCAGAAGAGAGCGACCAGCTGCTGATCCGACCACTGTAAGGGACCAGCTAGAGGGAGCGAAGCCCCAGGATGTGTGCGGACCGAGAAGGGGTCGCGGAGGAGGCAGGCCTTGTCGCCTCTCCAGCTAGCCTCGGCAGCCTGCCCTCGTCCGCAGCTCAGCCCCAGGGGCTTTGGAGAGCTATTGATCTCAAGGGGCCTGCTAGGTCGAATGCGGTTTTTGCTTTTCCTTCGGTCTCAGGGGAGGGTGTATTGCTGTTGAAAAAAGTTATTTCGGGCCACTGGCTCTTTCATATGGAAGAGATGCCAATTAGCATCAATCTGGATCTCTCACTTCAGGGTAAGCCTGAGAGACCTTGAGATCATGGGCAGAGCATTCCTTTAATCCCAGCACTCCGGAGGCAGAGATAAGTGCATCTCTGAGTTCGAGGCCAGCCTGGTTTACATAGTTTCAGGCCACTTAGGGCTACTTCGTGAGATTGTTTCAGAACACAAAAATCATAGACTGCACAGTAAATGACAACCAGTTAAAGTGGGAAGTGCTCTGCTCATTTGACAAGAGCAAAAGTAGGCCTTGTGCTTAGTGCCAAGATATGTGCTGAGTATGAAGAAGGGAACTGTGACGTGTGAGCTAAGTCCTAAAAAACGAGTAGGAATTGAAGACAGCGTAAGGGCCGGTGTTCCGAGTGGAGGAGGTAGCATGCGGAAACATGAGAGTGGTTCTCAGTTCATGGCCAGTTTCCTCCAGTTGTGGCTGACAGGTTAGCAGAAGAATTGGGGCAGGGGTAAGGACCTTAATATGTGTGCATATTAACGTGTCTATCATATCAAGTGATTTGAAGCAAGTGTATAATGTAGTAGAAATTATATGGTAGTGGCTCCTTAGTGTAGCAGATGGATTAAATGATGGGAATATCTACTAGGATAGAACTGAAATAATCCAAGTCTGAGTGAGGAAAGCCTATCACTAGTGAAGTGAGGGGTAATAAGTTAGAAAGAACTGGGTTTGAGGAGTTCAGAAACAAAGTCTTTAGGATTTTGTAACTAGTCAGATGTTACCTGAAGAGATACACAGGCAGAGAGAGTTTCAGATTCCTTGTTGGGCAGCTAGTAAAGGGCATACAGAAGGCCAGGCAGGTCTGAAATAAATTTGGTTTGCTTTTGTAGAAGTTATAAGGCTGTGATTCACATACCATACAATATTTAAAGTGTATGATTCAGTGGGGTTTTGTTTTCTTTGGGATTTTTTTGTTGTTTTGACATAGGATCTTGCTGTGTAACTCAGGCTACACATGGAACTCATGACAATTCTCCTGCCTCAGCCTCCTCAGTGCTGGGATTATGAGAGTGTACTACCATGATCAGCTTCAGTTGTTTTAGTATATTTTCAAAACTGTGCAACCATTATCAAAACTATAGTACCTAAATCCAGAACATTTTCATTTCTCTTTTTAAAAAAATTATGTTACGGGGCTGGAGAGATGGCTTAGCAGTTAAGAACACTGGCTGTTCTTGCAGAGGACCAGGGTTCGAATCCCAGCACCCACAAGGGAAGCTAACAAGTGTTCTTAACTCCAGTTCCAGGGGATCTGAGAGCCTCTTCTGTCCTCCACTGGCATTGCAGGACATGGGTGCACTTACCTACGTGCAGGCAATACATGCATACACATAAAAAAAAATAAAATTTTTTAAAAATTATAAGGTACATTTCTTTCTCCCCAACCTCCCCAGCTGTAGGCAACTCCAATCTGTTTTCCTTCTCTATAGGGTTGCCTTTTCTGGATTTTCACACAAATAGAACCCTATAGTATAAGCCTTTTGTGCCTGACTGCTCTGACTTAGCACAGTATTTCTAACGCTCATAATTTTGGAGTTTTTAATTCATTTGGCAAACATTTCTTTTAATTTTTTTATTTTATATTTATGTATCTGTGTATTATACCTACATGTATGCAAGTCCACCGTGTGTTCAATGCTCTGGAGGACAAAAGAGGGCTGGAGTTATAGATGGTTGTTAGCCACTGCCATGTGGTTGCTGGGAATCGAACCCTGGTCCTCTACAAGAGCAGCCAGTGCTCTTAATCACTGAACCATCTCTCCAGCCCCTTGGCAACATTTCTTAAGATTTACCACATGTCTATCTTGCCATGGACAAGATAGACAAGTTCCAATAAAGCTCCCATTTAAGAAAAAAGTCTCCCATTTTAATACGAGAAATGAACCACAAATAGAATAACTTCGTGTAGTTGTGTTGTGCTACAGTGATATTGGAGTGTGGGATTGTGGCATGCTAAAAAGGATAAATTAGAGGAGGTAATCAAGGGAAGGTTCCGAGAAGGGGACATTTGTACTGAGACCCAGATGCTCTGAAGGAGCCAGTTGTGTCAGTAGCTAAGAGCAGATTATTCCAGGAAGAAAGCAGGAGCAGAGGCTCATGAAAACTAGCTTGGCAGATATCCCAGGAAAGAGACTTAAATGTCAGATATATATATATATTAGAGGTCTAGAATGCAGAATAGCCTGGATTTGTAGGTCATCAGCATGTCAGATGTGAAGTTGGGAAGAGACCCAGGAGAGGACCCTTGGGATATTAGCTTCCAGCAGGTAGAAAGAACCTACACAGCTGAATGGAAGAAACTGTAAAGGAAAGCCAACAGGATGAGAATTGAGGTATTTTAATTTGGGGATGAAAAAGGCTATAGCATGTTTCAATTCTGTGGTAGAGAGTGGGTAGCCAGGAGAGTGTTCATGCATGATACAGCAGTGTTCAAATCCAGGAAGACAGACTGTGGGATCATAGTGGGAAGATTGTTCTGTACTTACAGGAGAAATGGAAGGAGATCCACCTGCCTCTGCCTCCCAAGCGCTGGAATTAAAGGCGTGTGCCACCACACCCAGCTAAAATCAGAATCTTTTTTTTTTAAACATTTTTTTAATTTACTATTTTATTTATTTATTTATTTATTTATTTATTTATTTTTTTGTCTTTTTGAGACAGGGTTTCCCTGTAGCCCCAGCTGTCCTGGAACTCACTATGTAGACCAGGGTGGCCTTGAACTCACAGACATCGCCTGGCTCTGCCTCCCAAGTGCTGGGATTAAAGGTGTGCTCCACCACGCCCAGCTTAAAATAAGAATCTTAAAAAAAAATTTATTGTGTACATGTGTGTGTTGAGTGTGGGAGCATACCCATGCAACAGCATGCAAGTGGAGGTCAGAAGACATCTTTGGGGAACTTGGATGACTTTTACCAGCTGAGCCATATCTCAAGGACAAGACTGCTTTTTTAAATGTGAATGGTGGCTCATATCTGAAGTGAAAGAGATAAAGGATTGGAAAACTTAGGAAAGAGGACAAAGTGAAATAGTAGCTATGGAAACTTATAAGTTCCTGAATGCTTATTTTTGAGACAGGGTCTGGGTAGCCCAGATTGGCTTCTTAACTTGCTATGTAGCTAAAGAGGACCTTGAACTTATTTTTTTATTTATTTTTATTTTATGTGTATGAATGTTTTGCCTGCATGTAAGTGTACCTGTGTATGCAGTGCCCTCAGAGACCAGAAGAGAACATTGGATCCCCTGGAACTGGAATTACTGAGAGTTATTAGCTGCCACATGGTGCTGGGAACCAAACCCTGATCCTCCACAAGAGCAGCCACTGCTCTTAACTGCTGAGCCATCTCTCCATCCCTGACCTTGAAATTAATCTATCTATCTAGCTATCTGTCTAGCTATCATCTGTCTACCTACCTCCCTATCTATTTGAGACAGGGTGTCACTGTGCAGCCCTGGCTGGTCTGGAACTCTCTGTGTAGACCAAGGTCCAGCCCCGACCTTGAAATTTATCTAGCTAGCTAGCTAGCTAGCTATCTACCTACCTATCTATTTGAGACAGGGTGTCACTGTGCAGCCCTGGCTGGCCTTGAACTCAGATCTGCCTGCCTGGCATCCCTGAACTTTTAATTCTTCTTTTACCTCCCAAGTTCTGGGATTACAGGTAAGCACTACCACACAGGTCAGTTGTGAGGAAGAAGCCCAGTGTGAGTAGATCCATTTCATGTCTCTTTCCTACTAGCTGAGTTCCCTGAGGTCTGGTCACTGTGTTAGACACATCTCTGCCTTGGTTGATTAGTACCATGCTTATGAGTACTAGGTGAATTATGAACTAGATTTTTTTGGGAAAAGTATCAAAGAAGCTTAGGGATTTAATAACTGTGATGTTTAGCTTAAGGTGTGCCTTGTATTGAATGTAAATCATGGCAGTTTTATAAACTTTAATTAGCAAGGTAAAAGGGGAAAGAAAAACAATATGAATAAGATAAGTTGAAATTTAGGCTACTTGGCATATGTTATGATCTTAAAAACAATTTTTGTTTGTTTTTTATTTTGTTTATTTTATGTGTATGAGCGTTTTTTACCTCTGTTATGTAAATGCATCTATGTTGTGCAATGTCCATGGAGGCCAGAAGGTGTCAGATCCCCTGGAACTGGAGTTATGGATGGTTGTTAGCTTCCATGTTTGAAGTGTAGTAACTTCAAATTGAAATGGTTGTTCTAAAAGTATTACAAACTGCTAGTTTACATTTTAGACATCATAACTTAATCATGAAATTCAGATCAAATTCAACCTTTGGGTTTCTTGGGTATGTATCACTTTCCATTTTAATAACTTTGAAATCTTTCAACTCCTCGGGATTGCTCTTTGCCCTTTCCTACATTGGTACTGTTCTCTATTTTATTTATTTTTTTATTTTTATTTTTATTTTTTTTTTGAGACAGGGTCTCCCTGTAGCTCCAGCTGGCCTGGAACTCATAGAAATCCGGCTGCCTCTGCCTCCCTGTCCCTAGTACGGGGATTAAAGCCACCACATCCGGCTTTCTCTCTTCTCTTTAAAACTGTGTGGAACTAATCTCAGAAATTTTACGTGAGGACTCTCAACACTTGAGGTGCAGTTTGAGTTGTGGAAAGTTTGACTTTATTGGGCTGAATGTTTTTCAGACATAGGGTAAGACGGTCTTACTCTATAGTCCGGTCTATGCTTGAACGTTTCTCCTGCTTTAGCCTCTCCTGAGATTATAGGTATGTGCCACCATACCCAGCTTTAGGCTCAATTTGTATTGGTCTTTAATAATTTTATTTCTCCCTTTGGATGTCTGCAGTGGTGCTGGGCAAGAAGTAGGAAGATCATGTATTATTCTGGAATTCAAAGGAAGAAAAATAATGGTAATTATTATTATAGTTTTTACTATTCTTATTTGGTACTGAAAATTGAACTTAGGTCTTGTGCATGCTGAATAACTGTTCTACAATGAATTATATCCCTACCTTGGGTAACTGTTATTTTTATAGTCAAGAAAATAGTGTAACTGATTATTTAAGTTGTGTGTGTGTGCGTGTGTGTGTGTGTGTATGTGTGTGTGTGTGTGTGTGTGTGTGTGTGTTTTCCTGCATGAGTTATGTACATGCATTCAGGAGCCTATGGAGGCCAAAGCTCTATGGATTCATATGCGCAACTGCCCTGTTAAGTCCAGAAAAGAGTTTCCTTGTATTCATCTGCCACCTCTGGCTCTTACAATCTTTTCACCCCCTCTTCCACACTCATTTCTGTACCTTGGGAGGAGAGGGTGTGATATGTGTACCATTTAAGGCTGAACACTGCAGTTTTTCATATTCTACATGTTGACCAGTTGTGGGTCTCTTTGTAAATTGCCATTGTCTGCAAGAAGAAACTTCTCTGGTAAGAGTGAAGAGGTGCACCAATCTATGGGTATAATAATAAGTCATTAGGAGTAGATTTAATATTATGTCCATTTAGCAAAGTAATAGTAGTTTCTCCTTTATGGCCTGTGACCTGTCTAGCTCAGGTTCTTGGTCCTGATAACAGTGCCAGGTATGGGCTCCATCTTGTAAATCAGTTCTTAAATCCAATCAGAACGTGGTCACTTACTCCCTTAACATTCATGCCACTGTTGTACTAGTCAGTGACTAATCTTTAAGAATATGTTCTGTAGTGCCTTTCCTAACTGGAGAAGTGGTTGCTTTTAGTAATCTATGAACTTGTAAAATACCTGTCATCTTCTGATATCAGAATTCTTGAGAAAGAGCTCATTTTTAGAATAGCAAAATGCCTGTATTTTATCTTATGACCCTAAATGTGAAATATTTTAAATTTATAGAAATTTGGAATTCTTAATGGGACATTTGCCACAATTCATGTAAATTATATTCCAAGTGCTAGTATATGGGATTCATCTTGAGCATATGGGTGAGAGATCCATTTTCTTGTGTTTGCTACATGAATTTTAATAAAATGTATAGGAGGCTGTGATCTTTATTTTCGTCCTTCAGCTGGACTGTGGGATCCACCCTGGCCTAGAAGGAATGGATGCTCTTCCTTATATCGATTTGATTGACCCAGCTGAGATTGACCTTCTCTTAATTAGTCAGTAAGTTTTTCCGCTAATAACAATACTACTTTTCAAGGCGTTTTACTATGAAGATTGTTCTTTGCCAGATTTTTCATTTTTGTAATACTTACTCTGTGTGTGTGTGTGTGTGTGTGTGTGTGTGTGTAGTAAGCATGTGGAGGTCAGAGGACACCTTGTGGGAGGTAGTTCTCTCCTTTTACCATGTTGATCCTGGGGTTGAATGCAGGTCATTAGTCCTAGTGGCTGAGCTATCTCACTGACCAGATTTTTGTTGTAGGTTTTTTGTTTGTTTAGGAAATATACTGCAAATATCTAAGTCTAAACCAACACTGTTTTGTTATCACAGGCTAGAGAATTTACTAGGAAACACATATGTCTGCATGTGAGTCAGTGAGTGAGTGGGAAGAAGATGGTATATACTGTGAATCATCGTCAGATGGGAAACTGAGAAACCCTTTTCCTGGGTGTCTCCTTGGCCTCACTCTCTGTAGTCCGATTCCTCAATATGAATTTCACTTAAGGTGGGCATGGTGGTACATGCCTATAATCTCAACACTTTGGAGGCTAAGGCAGGAGGGCTACTATGAGTTAGAGCCCAGCGCAGTCTACATAGCAAGACTCTGTCTTGGAAAAAGCTTCTTTTGTAGATATCACTGTCTTAATTCCTTTTCTGTTGCTGTGATAAAACACTGTGACCAAGGAAACTTATAAAAGGAAGACCTTATTTGAGCTTACAGTTCCAGAAGGATCAGAGTCCATCATGTGGGGATGCATGGCAGACTGGAAATCTGGCATGGTTTAAGAACTTTCTAAGCCCACCCCCAGTGACATGCTTCCTTCAGCGAGGCCACACCTTCTAATACTTATCAAAACAGCACCACAAACTGGGGGGAAAAATGTCCAAATACTTGGAGCCTATGGGGGACATTCTCATTCAAACCACCATAATCAACATTTTAATTTTATTCCACTAAATTGTTATTATTCTGACTGCCACATGTAGATTTGGTTCATTTATTCCACCTCTAATTAATTACTGATAGAAGATTTTGCTGTTTAGAAATAAGGCTGGCAAGATGACTCAGAGGATAAGGGCACTTGCCACCAAGCCTGATGACCTGAGTTTGATCCCTGGAATCCACATGGATAAAAGGAGAGAACTGACTCCACAAATTGTCCTCTGACCTTTACATGTGTGCTGTTGCACACTTGTACCTACACATACACACAGACGTGCGCGCACGCGCGTGCAGTCATGCACACAAGTAAACAAATGTAATAAAAAATTTTTGAACGTTTTCAAAGTCTTTACCTGTACTAGAGCTTTGTGTGTCATTCTTTCCTCTGTACATACCTACTCTTGGTTTTCTGAAATTGTCTGTATGTAGTTGTGTAGTTCATTGACTAAGAATTTGATGCGTGTAGTACCTGCTGGCCATTATTTGAAGTGCTAACACAGTCCTGTTTCTTTGTAAGTTTCCATTTGGATCACTGTGGAGCTTTGCCCTGGTTTCTCCAGAAGACAAGTTTCAAAGGAAGAACATTCATGACTCATGCCACAAAAGCGATTTATAGATGGCTTCTTTCAGACTATGTCAAAGTTAGGTAAGTTGCTGTATTAGGTTCATATGCTCTACCCAGTATATACAGTTCAAGATAGTAAACCTTGTGTTTCAAAAAAGGCACAGTCTTTTCTTTTACAAGGATGGCTATGATCATGTTATTAGTAATAAGCCACACAATGACTTTGTGTGTCAGCACCTTATTGACTTTAGTCTTTTTTTTTTCTTTTTTTTTTTTTTGGTCTTTTTGCAGCAAGGTCTCCCTGTAAGCCCCAGCTGTCCTGGAACTCACTGTGTATACCAGGCTGGCCTTGAACTCACAGAGATCCGCCTGCTTCTGCCTTCCAAGTGCTGGGACTACAGGCGTGCGCCACCACGCCCGGCTAATTATTTTTATATTTTTATGTGTATACGTGTATTGCCTGCATGTAGGTAAGTGCACCCGTGTCGTGCAATGCCCACGGAGGACAGAAGAGGCTATCGGATCCCCTGGAACTGGAGTTACGGACAGGTGTTCGCTGCCATGTGGGTGATGGGATTTGAACCCGGGTCTTCTGAAAGAACAGTGTTCTTAACTGCTGAGCCATCTCTCCAGCCCCCTTGACTTTAGTCTTTATATAGTTTTTATATCCTTTTAAATCTGTTTTATGTGGTATGATAGAAGTGCTCTGTAAGTAACATTTCATTTCATAATTTTATTAAAGTTTATGACTTTAAGCAGTGATATGTACTGAATTCTTACTTTTGATAATTAGTCTGACCAGAGAAAATTCCTGGGGTTTTTTTTTTTTTTTTTTTTTTTTTTTTTTTTTGGTCTTTTTGAGTCAGGGTCTCCAGCCTAGAACTCACTGTGTAGACCGGGCTGGCCTGGAACTCAGAGATGCGCCTACCTCTGCCTCCTGAGTGCTGGGATCTAAGGTGTGCATCACCATGCCCAGGGATTGCCTTAAATGAAGCTGTTCCCTGAGGAAATTTGTACCAGTTGTAAGAGAAACATCCACTCTTCTATCAGAAAGTGTAGAACATTTGTACAGTACAAAGTATTAACCTTGAAAGGTTGGCTTTAATTCAGAGGTGGCTAAAATGCCATTTGTTACTCTCCATATGTAAATACAGTGGAATGGAAAAATTAGTAATGCTTGTTAACACTTAATGTATATCACTTGTCAGGCACAGTTCTCAGTGTCAGTATATACAAACTCCTCTGATCCTCACACCAACTCATGATGTAGGCTCCGTTACACATCCCATTTTTTAAAAAATATTTTACTTATTATTTTTATTTTATGTGTCTGGGAGTATTGCCTGCATGTAGGTAAGTGCACCTGTGCTGTGCAATGCCCAAGGAGGACAGAAGAGGCTATCAGATCCCCTGGAACTGGAGTTATGGACAGTTTTAGCTTCTATGTGGGTGCTGGGATTCAAACCCGGGTCTTCTGCAAGACCAGTCAGTGTTCTTAACCTCTGAGCCATCTCTCTAGCCCCCTATACATCTTATTTTACAGATGATAAAACTGAGACACACAGAATAATTATAAATAGTTATTCAAAATAAATAATTTTGCCTCAATCATAGTACGAGACGTGAACCCAACCAATATGATTCCAGAGTCTGTGCTTTTAATTGCCTACTCTCTTGTAACCATACCTTCAGTGTCTCCTTTTTTTTTTTTTTTAAGTACATTTATATAATTTTCAAATGATAAGTTATACTCAACTTTTAGAGAAGTCTTTTCTCAGGTCAGCATGAGTATCTCTGCTTTGTGTGTGCGTGTGTGTGTGTGTGTGTGTGTGTGTGTGTGTGTGTATGAATATGTTATTCTCAGGAATGCTGGAGAGGAAGAAAAAATTTAAAGAGTGTTTTGTGCCAGGTGTGGTGGTACATGCCTTTAATCCCAGCACTCAGGAGGCAGGGGCAGGCGGAGCTCTGAGTTCAAGGCCAGCCTGGTCTACATACACAGTGAATTCCAGGCCAGTGGGGGCTACAGGGAGACCCTGTCTCAAAAAGATCACACACAAAAAAGTGCTTTGTATAGCTGCTCTGGCAGCACAGACCTGTGATTGAAGCTCCTCAAGAGGCTCATATAAGAAAGCTGCAAGTTCAAGGTTAGCCTGAGCAACTTAGTGAGACCCTGTCTCAAAAAAAGTACTGCGAATGTTGCTCTGTGGCACAGCACTTACCTGGCATTCATGGCCCCCAAGTTCAATCCCCAATTACTTTAAAAAAAAATAGAAAGAGTACCTTGTCTTAATTTACTGAGATTTACTTAGAGTACTTTGAATTCACTTTGCTTACAGTTAAGCTTTGCAGCTATGCATACATTTCTATTACAGTTATAGAAATGCCTGAGATAACTTAAGTCCATATACTGGAAAGGTTATGTTTTGTTTTCAGTATAGGGAGTGAACACAGGGCCTTGTGTATTGTAGGCAAATTCTTCAGCCCTGAGCTGTATCCTCACCCTGTATACTGTGGTTTTAACAAGTAGTTTCATCCATATGTTATTATTTGTTGCTTTGCATTCAAAGTCTTTTAAAAAATATGTCTTAGCCGGGCGTGGTAGTGCACGCCTTTAATCCCAGCACTCGGGAGGCAGAGGCAGGCGGATCTCTGTGAGTTCTAGGCCAGCCTGGTCTACATAGTGAGTTCCAGGACAGCTGGGGCTACAGGGAGACCCTGTCTCAAAAAGACCCCCCCCCAAAAAAAAATGTCTTACACTGATTTCTTGTTTTGTTATCTTTTAAAATTTAGTAACATATCAGCAGATGACATGCTATACACTGAGACAGATCTTGAAGAAAGCATGGACAAGATTGAAACGATCAACTTCCATGAAGTTAAGGAAGTTGCAGGAATCAAATTTTGGTGTTACCATGCAGGCCACGTCCTGGGAGCCGCCATGTTTATGATTGAGATTGCGGGTGTGAAGGTACTCTTGGGCCTTTTCCCCACTAAAAAAATCAGGGCAGAGCTTTATACCAGGAAGTGGTATTAAAAAGTCCCAAAGATTTACAAAATGTTAAAACACTGAAACACAAGCTAAAACTAAGTCGGTGCTATTTTCTTGAAATGGAGATTCCCCCTGCCATGATAATACAGAGCAAAGTAAGCATCTCCAAGAGCAAGCTCCCCAACACACAGCAGAACTGATCTCTGCAGTGTCCTTCAGAAAATCAGGTTAAATGAGCCATATTTCTGGCTGCTGCTTTTTAAATCATGGGCTCAGTGTGCAAAGTGTCTCTGGAGACCCTTTCTGTATCAGCATTCCCTTCTTAGTCTACTGATAATGTAGGTTATCCTTGTGAAGTGATTCTAAGATACACTATTCCTGTGAATTAGATCAAGTCATTGAAACACAGGGTATTTTAGTGATTTAAGTTACATATTTTTTAATTATATACAACCATTGAATCTAAATTTCATCAGGTGTATGCCAT